AGTTTTCCTGGTTGCTTTTCATATCAATAGTGAATAAATGTCGACTTCTTTTATATAATTAATTTAAAGATAAGCTGGAATTTATTCATTTAGAATTTTTGTCATAATGATGAGATTTATTTGCGCTTTTATTAGAAATGGGATTCTATTCATTAAGATTCATTAATTATCTGAAAATGAATATCATTTGTTAAGTTGTTATTATTTACTCGAAGCATCCACTTTCTATCCTGGTTATTTGCATGTTTGTTCTTTTTGTTACATTGATAATCAATTTTGTTCATGAAAATTTACTTTCTGAGAAAAACAAATCAATGAAAACTTCCTTAGAAGAAGAATGATATTGTTTTTTGTCACTAACGTCATCCGTTATAAATCAAGTTTGTATGACTTTCTTTGAAATATATGATGTCATGAAAAAAATATATTAGTCAAATTCATTGAAAAATAACTATACTCGTTGAATTGACGTTTCTATAACAGCAAAGAAACGAATAGTATTGGTTTATATATTAATAAAAATAATTAACAGAACTATCAAGACAATGATGTAGCCGAATGATAGAATTGTAAAAAAAATGTAATTCCATTTTTCATTTATTGACTACAATGATAGCTGAATTTATCATCAACGATAATCAGCAAACTTTCGAAATTATTGATGATAACAACTATCACAATATCGAATTCTATTTATGCAGCAAGAATATATTGAGATATTGGTTACTATTGAGGAAGCTATTTAACATCCGGAATCATAGCCGTATGAAGACTTTTTGAAATGAAACAAAAATGATCTCATGTGTTGCTCATATTTCTATTCATCTTGATCGTTGAGGTCGTGGTTTAGGCAAAATACTTTTGCGTCGTATGATAGATTATGTTCGTGGAATAGGTGCTTTGACAGTTAAGCTTTAAATGAAGACCTTGAATAAATATGCATATATGTTATATGTAAAATATAGATTTACGATTGTTCTAATTACTATTCAATCAATATTATTTGGACTAATAGGGTACACATCTGATGCAACTGATGTTAAGTCGATTTGACCAGTTATCAGGATTTCTTTGACACAGTCTACTTCCTATTAATACACTTTTCTATTGATTTTTTAATTTCGCCGATTCGAAAATGTTTCTTCGAAGAAAATGAATTGATATTGATAAAAAGTGCAGGTGAGAGGAAAGGAAGAAAAATTATATCTAAGAAAACGTGTTTCTTTTTTCTTCATAGTATACTTGCTTTTGCGTTTTATTACAAAGTCAGAATTTTCGCCGAAAGGGCGGATGAAGTATCTGCATATATAGACTACGATATCAGATATTGCAATATAGTGTAGGTAGACAAAAATAACATTTGATAAAATTTCATCATTTTTCTTCGCTTTGATACGACATAAGGATGTAAGGACAATCATATTTTTTACAAATAAAATGTATGCGTTGATAGAAGAATAAAGCATTAAAATTGTATTCTATAAACAATTTAATGTTTTAAAAACAAAGACACGTCATGAAAAAAACATCCGTGAAATGTTAATCGTATGAATAATACTGTTTTTGTTTTCGTTTTTCACCGAAAATTTTATATTATAAAAGAAGAAAAAATATTGGCCCTTTTCATTTCAGATCGATGCTGTTTGTCAATGCCACTAAATATTCAAAATATTTCTCCTTCCTATGTCATACGTAGTTTACTACCAAAACCATACGGCACATTTATTTTGCGATATCCAACAGCAAATGATGAAGTAATTTCATTAATTAAGATCGAAGATCATCATTCACAAGAGACTTCTACACATTCTTATATTATTTTATCAATACGTGTCGATGAAACTGTCTATAAATATTACATACAACATTATCGATTACCTTATATTTTAGAAAACATTCATAAGAATACACAACAACCATTAGAAATATACAATCGACAACAAAATAAATTAAAAAATGGTAAATTTACACCATTAAAACATGAATTAATTCTTCCACCAGAAGATGAAAGTTGGTTTTTAGATAAAAAATACTTTCAAGGTATTGATTTTGATAGAATACGAAATGTTGGCATGAATAATCAAGGTACATCTACAGCAGTTTGGCAATGTGAGAAACAAAATGATATTAAAGTATTTATTAAACGTTTCAAAAAAAATAGTTCATACTTTAGACATGAACTTTCTTTATTAAAAGAATTTTGTTATTTTTCTATTATTACACTTTATGGGCAATATTCGGACAATCATTATAGCTATTTAGTGTTTGAAAATGGTGGTAAATCATTGGAGTCTTGTTGTCCATTGACAATTCGATCAATGAAAACAAAAATGAGATTTATAACAACTGTTGGTTTTCAAATTGCTTATGCTATGATGTATCTTGAAAAGAAAAATATTGTTCATCGTGATTTAACAGCAAGTAATGTTCTTATCGATTCTTATGGTTTTATACGAATTGCTGATTTTGGTCATGCAATTCATAAACAAGAAGGAAAAAATACTCTCGAACGATCACAAACAACTACTGGAGAAAATCGATTTCAATTTCGTTTTCTTGCACCAGAATGTTTACCTGAGACAAAACAGAGAGAAATAACAGATACATCGATAATTTTAAATCAAGCAGATGTTTATGCAAGGTTTTCGTCAAAAAGTGATGTCTGGTCGTTTGGTATTCTGTTGATACAACTGATGCTTGACGATCCACGCAAACCATATCCACATATATCCAATGTAAATGAAATACCACGATATGTTAAACAGGAAGGCAAGATTCATCCACAACCACCTGGATGTCCTATGGATATGTACTTAATACTCAAACGATGTTGGGCTTATGAAGCAAAAAATCGCATTTCATTTACTGAAATTCGAGATCGAATGTTGTGTTTAAACATAATTTTTCAATGATTAAATGTAATTATTTTCTATTGAACTATATTGTTGGTACCAAATGAAAGCTTTAATCCATTTCATCTCTTAATTTCGTGAAAAAATGCGAAGAGAGGTACAAAATTGTTTTACACAGTGATTTTTTCGTTGTGTGATAGTTGTTCGTTAAAGTGATCTCCAGTTTTTGACTTGGTAAAGGTTATGACTACGTGCATTGGCTTCTGGTTATGTATTTTTCTAATCGAACATCTTTACATCGAATGACATAAATGTCTTTCACCATGAAGTTTGCTATTAACATATATTTTAACACTGATGTGTAATGTATCGTTCATAAATATAATTTATTTGTATGATAAAAATATTACTAGCTCATGAATTTGTTTGTTATACCTTGGTATCAATGGAGCTCGCTTGACCAGGCAGACACTCACGAAATAGTTACTTCAATTGTTTCTGAGCTCTTTGATTCTATATTTTAGCCTACAGTAAGTTCCAGTGAGACTGAGAAAATCCAAAAAGTATTCTTGCATATAATTTTCTCTGTCGGAATAAGATCAAATTTGTGTCAAAAGAAAAAGGATTTCTGGGTAATTGTTTTTTTTTTTTGAAAATATCGTTTCTCTGTAGTTCTGAAGCCATTGAACATTAAATATATTGAAGAAACTCGATCACAGGCATTAATATATTCGAATATCAAAATCATTATTAGGCTGAATTTAGAAGTACCGAATATTCAAGGGTAAAGTAATGCAGCGCATCAATTTTCTTTCGTATTAATAACAGAAGAAATCATGTAAAATTGAAGTCAAGCTAGACATGTTGACCAAAGTAGAAACTGACCGAATGATAGTGTTAGTTTGTGTAAAAGTGATGAAAATTTAATATGTTCCGAAACCATGGACAAGAAATAAAATCGGATGTTGAATATCTCTGTTTATTGCACAGAGACGATGCCAAAGACAAATTAACTTCAACAATGTTGTAAAAATGTCCAAGGGGAATATTTATGCATCTACTTGCAAACCAACTGAAACGGAAGAGTTTACGAAACAGAGTTTCCATCATCTAAGAATACATCAGTAGTTATTGTTTAATTCTACTATTTTGATTGGACATTTAAAAATATTCAATTGAGTCAAATGAAACTTAGTGTTGGAAAGAAATAGATACGTTTTAGATATATTGGAAATGAAAATATGATTACTGATGGGTTTTCTAGTATTTGAATAATTAATGACCACATTGTCAACTTGGAACGGTTACACTGATCATGTGAAATAGAATAGAGCTTAATAAATGTGAATAGGACAAGAACTTAAAATTCATCTTCACTCTTTCGATCGCTTCGTTGCTGAAGACATCAGAGAACGAGTCCGACGGCTTGCTTCTTTATATCAATAAAAAATTGAATAGTGTACAAATGAGTGTTTGTGCTTTGAAATTTCACTGAACTACTAAATAGTTGTCGCCTTTGCTTCTTTAAAGACGAATATCGAAGTGTTTCGAAATTCCTTTACCATACTGATCCAATCTGTATTAAAATTTTATTTACAGAATAATTTCTTGTCTCTTTTTCGTACGACATTAAGAAACTCTTCAGTTGATGTGTTGATTTTGTTGGTATTTTTTATCGAATGTCTGCCAAGAACTTTAAGAGATTTTTCAAGAAACAATTCGATAGTTGTGTTTGAAATTAGTAAGCCATTGTTTCAAAGCAGATCATTCGAGTATTGACTGTTATCGAACATTCATTGTAGTTCATTGCTTTCAACCCGGATCGTATGCACATAAAGATCATTCACAAACATCTTTACACAAAGTGGATAAAAACAAATTGATTTCCTCTAGTCTTTATCTTTTTGATCCATCACAACGAATGTAATCTCGACAACGATAGGTATTTTGTCCATGACGAATTCGACGACATCAATGATTAACAGTCTGCCAATCATGTTTTCGTTTTTCATTCTTGTCCAGTCCATCGGAATAGGTCAGTAGTTGCTTCATGTAACAGCTATATTAGGACAAAGAAAAAAGAGAAAATCAAATAAAAGAAAGTCCACTGATGAGCCAAAAAAAATAAATATCGTTTGAGATCTGATGATGATCATTCAATATTGGATGATGATCATCGTCGTCTTATGGTCGGGGTAGGTATGGGTGGGATGTGAGGGTGTGGGTGGATATCGATGAAAGAAAGACCTATACCAGCACTCACATTCAAGACCACATCCTCACTGTCAACCACAAACACACTCTCATCTACCTCTACACTCTAAGTTTTGGAGTAATAATGTTTGGTCGTGAAACGCAGTCAACCTCAATGTGACAAAACATATTGGAACCATAACCAAAGATGAAGTTGAAAACAAATATTATCAAAACCTACTGTCCGTTTCAAAATATAGTGCGCGCCACTGTTTTTTAAATAACTCAAGAACGGAATGAGCTAGAGACCTGCGGTTTTCACCAATCGATAGATGAGACAGGGGAACGTCTTTTTCTCAGATAATGTGGCAGGCGAAATCCTTTTAAAACTACTCATCTTTGAAAGATATGGAAAAGAATGCGTGAAAATGACCTGCCATCCGGATGAAATTTTTAGTTTGACCTATGATTTAGATAGAGGAACTTGAGATCTACAGTTCAAAATACAATGCAAATACTTTTCTTATTGCATTCTAACGTTGACAAAATGGAACCATGTATTTACATGCGCAAATAATAGGGAATTTTACTGATTTTTTTACTATATTTTTTCATTTTTATCATAATAGCTGGACATTTTGATAAAAACGTAAGGAAAAGTAAGAAAGTGCATTGTATCTTAAACTATAGATATCAAGTTTCTCTATCTAAATCAAAGGTCAAAATCAAAATTTCATCTGAATGGCAGGTCATTTTCATGCATTCTTTCCCATATTTTTCAAAGATGAGTAGTTTTAAAAGGATTTCTCATGACATATTATCTGAGACAAAGACGTCCCTCTGTCTCATCTATCGATTGGTGAAAACCGCAGGTCACTAGCTCGTTGCGTTCTTGAGTTATTTAAAAAAACAGTGGGACGCACTATATTTTGAAACGGATAGTAGACGTAATCATTACCTTGAAGAAACACTCCAAATGCATATTTCAAATATAGTAACAAACATGAACACAGAGTGGTGGAAAAATTTCTTACAACAAATAATCTGTAAAATAGAAGTTCAATCCGTTTCTTATCACTACATATTTAATTACAGTCATTTGTATCATTTATAACATGAATAACCTAATTTAATGTTGCTAGCGGCAAAAAACAGGTGGACCATAAATAGTTGTACTCTTAGTATTTTCAATATTTCCTTTCTGTTCTTCGCTCGATTGAAGCAACCTTTTTTTATCAAAAGATAGCGCTCGAAATTCTGCACACAACAATATATTATTTGATCCAAAACTTGTTTTAGATATATTTGAAAAAAAAGATGAAAAATAATAGACATACAAACAGTTCTAAAAAATAAATATGGAAACCATCATCGAATCAACAAATAATTTCTGGATAAACAATGATCAACAGCACTGATTCTCTCAATATCGCAGTCCTCCACACATATGTTGAATGTAACTGAATAAATCAGACATAAAATAGTGTCTCTCTTTACAAGAAACGGATGTCAACAAGAATATTGCCTATTGAAACAAGACGCGTACTACTGCTATCGCATGAAGATCTTGACTATTTCCTATCAATAAACAAGCCAAAAAGTTTATGTGACTTATTTTCATACAAAGGGCGGGCTGATTTTTCAAAATGGATGTAATCAGAATCTTCTTTTAAAGATGTACAGGTATTACTACAATTAAAAACGGTGTGCTAACCATTTTTCTGCATTTTTTTTCTTCGAACGAATCGTTAGTCACCAAATTTACCTGGCTCATGTCGATTATATCACAGTTTATGGAATGAATTGGCTGCAGCTATGACTTGAGATTACATAATGACATCGATAGACGAAATAAAATGTTCTGTCAAAAACATTGAAAAAGAAAAAAATTTACATTCTGTACTTGTTTTTACTATACGACTTCGTCTGATCCAAAAAATGAAGGTATTTATATTCATTAAATAAATTATGTGCAGAATTTCAAACGGTAAAAACTAAAGAAATCTAATGTATTTAGAGATACGGTTTTTTCCGAAAAAATCTTGCAAGAAAAGACGTCATTAACTGTTTCTACGAAAAACCTTCTATTTTTATTGTTCATTGAAAAATCACCAGTGTCAAAGAGGAGAATAATAATCGATAAGAAAACGAATTCATTTACCTTTCTACCTATCAGAAATATTCACATTGAGTAAGATAATCATAACAGAAGAAAAAATATATATTCTTATTTCGCTCACAAGAGAAGAATCTAGGAAAACAAAATGCAAAAAAGCTATCGAGGGAATATCTTTATCATCAAATGCAGAGTATCATGATTTCTAATTATCTCAAAGAAACAAAATCCATTTAATACATTCGTTCAGATAAATAAACTCTGCTCCATAAAAACAAAAGCAATCTTAAGTGTTTTTAAGTGAACCTATTTATCTTCATCATTAACAAAAGAAAATGTAAAAGTAATGCAACACATTTGAAAAAGTTAGTAGAAATCCAAATGTAAAAATATGATAGACTTGACCAACAGAAACATATTCATAGGAAAATCTGAACACAAAAAAAATTTTCCTTAAATATGTACATTTTTTGTAATTTTAATGTTAATTTTTCGAATAATCCTATTCTTCTTTATCTATCCTTTCAAGTAGTTAGATATGAAAACATATTATTTCAATACTCATAAGTTGTTTGGATCTCTATAAGTCGAGTCAAAAAAACAAATATTTCTGTTAGTTCTTTTTTCAATCAATTCACCAGAATATTCATCCAATCAAAAAAATATTAGCAAAAAAAATACAAACATTAACAAGAATTTAAAAAATCAAATCGTTATACCGTAAAAATTTGTCATAGGAAATAGATTTACAAAAATAGTGTAATTTTGCCTAGTTTTATTTACGACTTGATGTTCGTTTAGTTTTTGATTGTGGTGTATTAGCAGATGATTGAACAGTTGTATTTTGTCGTGATGGTCCAGGTGGACGTTTTGGTTGTTTTACAGATTTATTTAAAGTATTTAATGAATCTGAAATAAATATTCTTTTTTATTATTATTTGTTATTATGATCAATTTAAAGTTACTTGTTAATATTGTTCCTAATTTTTGATCAATTTGATCAAGATTAAAACTGGGTGTATAACGCTTTTCGCCGGTTTGACTATCAACTGGAATCGGTTTTTTTTAATATAAAATATAAGATAAATTTACATGAATAATGATTAAGTTTACCTTCAACTTTCAATACATAATAAGTACTTCTGGCAGTAAGAAATTGTGTAGCATAGTCATCAAAATGCGTATTGAGTTCTTTTACTTTTCCTTCATTATCCATCAGATCGATTGTTTCTTTGAATAAAGAAAAAAAGAACCATAAAGAATCTTTTTGTTAAGATCAAAAAATGATCTGTTTTTTACCATCTTGAGGTATACCAACAACTTGTTTCATATGATCAAGTAAACGACGACAAGATGCATAACTATTGAGAAGTAATTGTTGATTTTCTATTTGTAAAGAAAATAAATGTTTTTTTTTCTTAAATATGCATAGGCACAAGAAAAAATCTGTTTTTTTTTTATCAGTGAACTTTTTAATCACGTACCACTATGTACAATCCGAATAAAAGTACAAGGTCCTGAGATAGTTTGTTTTCGTAAATCTGCTGTTCGTATTCCTGTAACGGAGCTTACGGATGAATTACGTCTTATTTCCATGTTTGTTTTTATAATTGTCGTTATGTTCACTTGTCTCTTTGTTGCTCAATCAAAATGAGGACTTTCTCTTCTCTTCACGTACTCTCCACCAAATTGTTCTGTTTTATGTTGTTTGCAAATCATTTTCTTTCTCACTCTCGTTCTCGCTCGTTCGCCTGACTTCGATCTCATGAGCAATGTGCGCACTTCAATATTGTGCTCTCTTCTTCTATACTTTAGTAACAATGACAGTGAGTGGATTTGCTGCTTGAAGGCATATATATACACACACACACATTAACGGGCTGAATTCTTACTATTATTACAACATACCTTGTAATAATGATGCATTTGAATAGACGATTGTTACCAATGGATTGATAGGTATTGTTGATGAAGAAAATGACTCATTAAGATTGGATGGTTCACCGATAGAAAAATTTTGATTAAGTGAAAGTGATGTATTAGATATTTGTGATTGATAATGAAGTCGACGTCCAGTTGTCGATGAAATTGAACTTGCGAGTGCCGTTGCCGATGTCATTTTATGCTTCGAGCTGGTAGCCGTTTTGTAAAATAAATTTGTACTTGTATTTTTACGTTAAAGACAACAGAACGAAAACAAGATTATTCGGTCGCCTATTACCATTGTCGTCATAAATAATGTAAAATTGTGATTTACTGTTGTCACAACCGAGTAGAAAAGAAGGCAAACAAAATTGAAAAAAAAATTAAAGCCATTTCTTTCTTTTTTTTCTCACTTCTTCTCCTCTTTTATTTCATCTACTTGACTTTTTTTTCTGAGTTATTGATGACTGGAAAAAAAAATGTCCAGTATATTATAAATAACAATTGAAATTTTTCATATGCAATAAATCTATTTCTGGAATTTTATTTCAGTTCCTTTTTGTATATCATGTTTGACAAACATAGGAATTTGCTATTTTCTTATCAAAAAAAAAAGAGAGAAAAGAAAAGAAAGATAAACCAAGATAATTTTTGAGATACAACAAGCAAAAAAAAAAGAACACAAGTTATTGCAATGAAACGAGAAGAAAAATGAGAAAAGGCACAGACTTCGCAGTGCAGAAGTTCACACAAATTCTCAAAAGTGTGATATCTGATACGCACGAGAAGCAAAAAAAATAGGACTATTAAGAAAAAAGAAATTAGCATTTTAATGAAGAGAATCATTCGTTCAGAAAAACATCTGACATATCCCGTTTTATAGAGAAAGAGAGACATGACTAAAAAAAGGACACAAATATTTGTTGTCTGACAAAAATATAGATGGTCACACATTGCACAAATAATCGATAAACGAAAGATAATACTGTGTGTTCTTTTTTTATTTTATTTTTTTTGGTTTTTTTATTTTTATATTTGATCATTTGATGTTGTTAATGTTGTTGGTACTTCAAGCATAATTGCATAATTTTTCATTAAATCCGATGTATCAAGTGAAACTGAATTATTATTATCATTACTTGTTGACATAACAATCGAACAAACTGAATCATCTTCATCATCACTAACTGAAGAATCGATTATATTTGATGTTTCAACTTCAGTTTCATTTTGTTCATCAATTTCCTTTAAGAAAATAAAATAATAATCATAAACTCCAAAAAAAAATAAAATTCTTTACTCGATCAACATCCATCTGACTTATTTGTTCATCTTGTTGATTTGTTTGATTATTTGTTGATGTCATTGTCTCTTGTTCTTTATAATATTGCCATTGAGCTTGTTGTTGTTGTTGATAGAAATAACTTAATTTTAAAATTGAAATTTATTTATTGAAATTTTTATTTTTTTGAACTTACTATGTTTCTAATTGTGCAATAAATTTTCGAACGAGTAAACGTTCACGTAATGGATTTTCAGTGCGTCGTTGTCGAACACTAAATGTTGGCATTTGTAATTTTTGATAAGACAAAAAAATCATCATTGCACGTTCTTGATCCATTTTTTGTTTTTAAATTATAATTAATAAATGAGAATTAATAGATAAATAAAAAATAAATAATGATTGGAAGAGAAAAAAGAATTTTTTTTTTCAATGACTAGTTAGATACACACTCACACCACACACACTAATACATTGAAGAAATCTAAAATAATTATAATAAGTTTCTTGTTTTTTTTTTGTCTTTTCTTATCAAGGTCGAATTGATTAGATAAAAGAAACAAACAAGTTTGACACTTCTGTCTGACAGACAATGCACGGTGGCCTTTGTTTAGATTTGCCATTCAGATAATGAATGACCTCTTTTTATGAAAATATTAAAAAAATGAAGAACAAATATTTTTTTCGTTAAAATAAAAAGAAATAATTGATTTTTTTTATATTCTTAAATTTTATATTGAACTATGAAAATATTTTTGTTGTTGTTTTTTCTTTATTTTAAATAGATGTCGTTAATTGATGATTGTTGAAGTCTATTTAAAATGAACGGAACATTACAGAAGAATAGGTGTAAATAAACACCTGCCGTTGTCGATCACAATTGAGAACATATTCTAGACGTATTTTTTTTTCTTTTGTTTAATTTAAATAATGATGAGATAAAAAAGTTCTTATAAAATATAGTTATGAAATAATGCAAACGAAAGAAACAATTGAATTGAAATACCTTGATATCTATGAGTTCCTGACAATAAAAGAACATGTTAAAAACTATAATATTTTACGGTGACTCATACACACTTTTTTTTTCTTTTACATTAAAATGAATAAACATATGTTGCATTTTGTCGCTGTCTACTATTCTCAATATATGTAAAGACAAAATCTTCGTCATTATATTTTAAGTTAACTTAATTAAAAATTAAAATTTCTCTATCGATTTTTAGTTGAACAAAAGAAAAAAATAAATAAACTATCTATAATAATTTTATTGATGTAAAACATATGGCAATCAACGAACGAAGTAAACGAAAGTGAGTATAATAAAAGAAAAACAAAAAACCTTTGCTTTACTATTTATTATATGATGATATTTTAGTGCGATGGAACGAAGTACTGCAAATGAAATCTTCAATGAATTGGAACGTAGTGATATAACAGATGATCAAGAAACTGAAGAAAAAGCATTAGAACATTTTCAGTTAGTTATTTTCTTGATTATATTTTATATAATAAATAATATTATTTAATTTTTTTTGTTTCAGAGCAGAATATAGTAGTAAAGCAAAATTTTCAAATACAAAGGAACAAAAGTACTTCTTGAATGTATGTAATCATTTGAAATAAAACTAGCAAACAATTTGTCTTAGTTATATATATTTTTTTTCTTCTAGATTTTGCGTTTTCTTATGAAGAAAAAATTACTTGGCTCGTAAGTTTTCAATTCAAATAAAAACATATTAATAAAAGAAAGAGAAAAAAAATGACATCGATCTAAAACAAATTTTGTCTATGAGAAATTTAAATGAAGAATTTTCATTGATATCATCTGTATAGAATTAATTATTTGCTGAAGAATTACTAAATAAAAATTATTTCAAATACATAAAAATATCTAGAAAATTCAAATAATTCTATAAGAAAAAAAAATTCTCTAATTTTTAGTTCAAAGAAACTCGTTTCATTATCTGTATTGTATTGTTTACGAATTTTATTACGTGATCCTGAATATCTACTTATCTTCGTTCAAGAAAATGGATTAAACAATTTGAAAAAAGTATGTTTATTTTATAAAATAAATCTTTTATTATCAAATTAATATGATTTTATCTTTCTAGCAAATGGATTTATATATTCATAATCTTCCACCAGATTTATGTGATAGTAATAATGAATCATCATTTATAGCGTCTAAAGCTCTAGGACATATACTTAGTAAGTATTTTTCAAAGAAACAATATATTGATCGGTTTTGTTTTTCTTCTCTGTAGATATTCTTCAAAAAATGTTAAAAAATACACCAAATCATGCTGAACGAGAATATTTAATATCAAGTAATATAATTGAATCAATTACACATTTATTAAATAATAATCGAGATTTTCTACTATTACATGATACATTAAGATTATTATTATATATGACTGATAAAACGTAAAAGATTGTTTTATGTTAATTTATATGTTTATTCTTTTTGCTTATTAAAGAGAATTTTATATAACAGAATTTCTTAAATCAGAAACAATTGAAAATTTACTTCATCTACTTGAATATAAAGATCTTGAAACAACACAGTATGTTAAATATTTTATTTTAAATATTAAATTTGAATTTTATTTAATAATATTAGACTATCTTTACATCTTATGGCAAGTTTTCTTTCACATCCGGAAGCACGTCAATATATTCCACATATACCAATTGATTTTCTAGATACATTTACAAGGTACAGAAATTAATTTTTTCTTTTTTATTTATTGAAATTTTTGTTTTCTTTTTTCTATATTTATTTAATTTTCAAGTTATTTAACTCATAATAATGTTAAAGTTCTTGAACATGCTATTTGGTGTTTAGCAAGTTGTGCTGATAATGAAGATGATCGAAGAAAAATACGTTTAACTGGAGCTATTCCTTTATTGTTGTCACTTCTAGAAAATGGGTAAATATTTTGTTTTTTGTTTTGTTTCTATCTATGATAAATATATTTTTAGGAGTCGTTTTGATTTTTCATGTCCATTGACAAATGCAAATCAAAAACGATATGGATCAGTTTCAAAAAGAACTGCTCGAGCAGATTCAGATGTAATTAATCCGATTATTTCTATTTATTGAAAAGTAAAAAAAGAATAATAAGTTAACAGATATGAAATTACAGTTACTGACTTTCAGAAATTTAATTGATGAACTATGTTGCTTATTTGTTCGCATCATTATGGTTAGAGAGCTGCAAGTCCGAGTCCACAAAAACGTGGACCAGCAACTCTCTAGCTATGGTACTCATAAGAGTCAACGGTATACTAGCAGTAGATTGTCCGTCAGAGAATAGCTATCGGTATATCAATATAGAATGGCAACTAGAGGATAGCCGACCATTTAAGTATCGAACTACGATCAATTGATTGTCAGTATATTGATAGTTTCTTGTATGATTTGGATAGTATAGAGCACTATCAGAAGTGAATAAATATGTGAAAAAAGTGTCATAGTATTATTTTATTGCTTTTCCAATTGATAAGTTTTTTTTCTAACGTATTATTACTAAATATTTAGGAGGAGAGAGAAAATGATTAGTTAGAAGCAGCAACATTATAATAAAACTATTCTGATATTGTTTATTCAATAGAATAATTTTATTGATCTTTTAGATCAAATTAGTATATAAGATGAAAGTATCATTCAATATATGAATGTTATAGGTTGTATCACATTTTGATCAATTATTTGATATGCAATCTGCTTGTTGTAATTGTCTTGCTGAACTTTCATATGATTATACAAATGGTCAAACAATAATTGAACGAAATGGTATTTATATTTTAGCAATGCTTCTTTTTCCTGAAAATGAAGATTTTCTACGATTAGAAAGATTCAATCATTTACAAGTAAATTAATAAGAAAATTTTATTTTAATTTATTTTAAGTTGATTTCTTTTTTTTTTTGTTTTTTTATAATAGCGTACTGTTTTTAAAACATTAAGATTTTTATTTTCATTAAATAAAAAACATGATCAATATCAATATAAACGATTATTTCCTGCACAAATATTTGAATTATTTGTTGGTATTGGTAATTTTCAACGTGATCCTAATGCATATAAGGAAATAACTAATGCTTGGAATTCAATACATATTGATGAATTAACAAAAATAAAACTTGAACGTCTTCAATCAATTAATCCAAAACAAGATCCAACACGATTTATTCGAGATTATGGAGTTTATGAATGTCTTGGATCAGGCGCATTTGGATCTGTTTATCGAGTAGCTCAACGAGGTTCAACAACAATGTATGCACTTAAAGAGGTTCGACATTTAACTGCTTCTTTTATTTTTTTGCAATTATTCAATTCTATTTTTACATCATTAAGCTTTTATCATTTGAAGAATGAAAATCGTTATTCTGATTAGATGCATAGTTGATTATATCTAGTAGGACAATTGTTCAAACGGATATTTGCGCACTCGAAAACTTGCTATGATGAAGTATATATAAGCCGCACAGACTAATAGACTGACTCCATCAGAAGTAATAATGTCAGATACTCGATAGATTAAAACCTCTAAAAACACGTCTTTATTACATATGCAATGGATCGAAAATGTGAATATTCTAGAAGATATGCCTGACACGGATGGTTATATACAAAAATTAAACTATAAATTTATTAAAACAATTAGTGCAAAATAAAAATCATACTGATAATCTACAATGTGAACCAGCTCGTAAATATTATCAACAATTAAGACAAAAAAAAATTAGCTCAGGATAACCTTTTAACACAAGATATATAATTGTAGTGGTGTAGCAAGTCATAGGTCATTGGGCTATCACCCACTAGAGTTCGGTGGTTTCAAAAAAAAAACTGAAATCGAAAACCGAACCGGAACCAACTTTTTAAAACTCCTTGAAACCGAAACTGGTAAATCATCAGATAGATACAAAAATTCTTAAATCTATGTCGAACAATCCTTATCTTTTCATTCCTGAGATTAAAGATTTCAGTATGTATGTATAATATTGTTTTGTTGAAGTGCTGAAATATGTGGCATCTTTGATCTCAATAATTCAATAGTAAAGATTTGTCAAAATAAATTTCAAATTTTCGTATCTATCTGATGATTTAACAGTTCTGATTCCGGGTAATTTTCCGAATCGCCGAACTCTATCGCCTATCGATCAAAAGGTTATTGCCCAGGAATTTCTTAGGATGGTGACAATTACTCAATGGTTCAATAGCAATTGTCAACAGATTTTGTCCAAGGTAATGACAGCTGCTCATACCTCAAAATAGTTTCATTGGAAAAAATTGCCCATTACTCAAAAACTCCTGGCTATGCAGTTGTACCAATGTATGAGTGAAGAGCAGGCTCTCATCTTCGATCCACTATTAGCCACCTTCGCTGTATTGTTCTCTGTTTAATTTACCATAATATCATCAATAATGTTAATTGTTTTTTTCGCTAGCAAATGTCTGTGCGCAACTATCCGTTCTCTCTAATAGGATTAGTGCTTATTCAAACTTAATATATTTATTTTAATTTAGATCGACAATCGTTCATTAGGAATCGGTACGGATCGTAGTTTAGGTAAAATGATAAATGAAGTAAATATAATTCGTGAAGAACTTCGTCATCCAAATATTGTTAGTTATTATCAAATATTTGCTGAAAGTAAACAATTCTGAAATTTTCTTTTTTCGTTTTTTTTGGATTCGAAATATTTATTTCTTTTAACAAAACTTATAGATGATAAATTATATATCAAAATGGAATTAATTGCTGGTTCATCATTACAAGATCATTTAACATTAATTAAAGATACAAATCAAAAAATGTCTGAAGATAATATATGGCGAGTTTTAATTCAACTTATACTTGCATTAAGATATTTACATAAAGAAAAAGGAATTGTACATCGAGATTTAACAGCAAATAATATTATGTTAGATGATGAATATAGAGTTAAAATTAGTAAGTATTCTATATATTTACTTTAGATAATAAAGATTATCGAGAAAATCCGAATAGAAATTGAGTTCGGAAACAATGAAATATTGTTCATTTAGATTCGAACTGATAGTATAGATAGTAATCAAAAGTTTGCTATTTATCTTAATTTATTTTGTTATGGAAGAACTAAAAATTCGTTGAATGAATTAGAAGAAAAATTTTCTTGAAAATCAAAACAAAGAAATTTAACCTGATAGTTACATAATAAGTTCATATCAACCTTAGTGGATTTGTTTAAGATTTCTTGATGATAAAATTCCATCAGAAACATTTTGGATGAATTGATTTTTTATGTTAGTCAATTGCAATTAACGAGTACAGTCTCTCAACTGATAAATCGCATTTGAGTCGAGACTATATGCATTTTGTAGAGCCAAATGTACTATAAATAACTTGAAAACAGTTCAAGCCCTTGGATTATTGCTGACAAGATACGGCACTTGTAAGATAGTTTTCCAATTAACAGCATGGTTCCCCTCAAGAAAATTGATTTTTGAATCTCGATTTGAAACTTTGCATAGAGACAGTCTTTAATGATAATAATTTCACGTGAACGTTTCAGATCTTGTCATTGTTCCTATCTTAAGATACAGCTATGGTAAAAAAGTGTACCTGTTATATTGCTCATATATAACAGTAGATTCGATATTCTTATTTCAAGATGGAAGCAAATCAAAAGACCTGAAACTTTCACAATAAACTATTTGCATTCATATCTACCTCTGTACAAAGTTTCAAGTTGCAATTCAAAAATTAGTCTTTCTTGCGTCCGTGAGGGGACTACGGCATTTATTGAAAAACTATCGTAAACTTGCAGCATCTGTGCAACAATCAACTAGGGGTTCGAACTCTTTTCAGGATGTTAAAAATTCATTTGGGTCTACATGATGCACATAGTGCCAACCCAAAGGTGATTAATCAGTTGGGACATTTCCTTAGTAAGATAAAACAAAAATTATGGAATTTTCTAATGATGAAATGTTTTGAACTGATCAATCACTTTCAAGTCCGGACTCTGTGCATAAAGTAGATCCCAGTGAGGTATAAAAAACTTCAAAAGAATAAATTCCCTTAGGTCTTCTATCCAGGGTCATAGATATTTTCCTAGCATTTTAGTGTATTGCATGATATATACCAACAAATCGAATGATGGTATTTCGACCTGAGGTTTTGCCCACAGACAGGTCTATTTGTGATTAGGAGGCCGCGAAAATTTCAACTCAAAAGAATATTTCTTTCACGAGATTTTAAAGCCTCAAAAAACAGAAATTTTGAGCATCTTTCGTGGGATATGAGTGATTTTTGGAACTTTAAGTTCTCAGGAATGAAATATTCTTCTGACCTGAAAGTTTCAGAGCATTCTATTCGCAAATAGACATGTCTGTAGGTAAAATCTCAGATCGAAATACCATCGTTCGATTTGTTGGTATATGTTATGCCATAGGCTGAAATTCTAGTAAAATGCCTATAGTTGTGAACAAAAAGCCTAAGAAGATCTATCCTTTTGGAGTTTTTCATACGTCACTGGCGTTCAACTTTATGCACTGAGTCCTAACTCAAAAGTAATTGATCATTTGAAGACGTGTTCCTTCTAAGAATTTTAGAAAGTATAGCATAAGTTCATATATGGAAAGCTAAGATAAATTTTTGGAAAATATCGTTTATCTTAAATAAACAAAAAAGGGCACATTACTTTTCATAATCTATTAACGATGATGTCTATTGGTTTCATATTCTAATTTCTAGCTGATTTTGGTTTGGCTAAATTACGTAATAATGATTGCAGTAAGATGACATCAGTCGTCGGTACAATGTATTATGCTTGTCCAGAAATTATTCAACATCTGAAGTATAACGAAAAAGCTGGTGAATATTATTTCATTAATACATCCTTCTTAAACTTTGAAATCATTGTTTTTGTTTTAGACATATGGAGTTTAGGTTGTGTACTTTATCATATGGCAGCATTAGTACCACCATTTTATACGTCAAATATTCTGTTACTTGCTGGTAAAATATGCGCAAGTGAATATGATCAAACACCACTTCAACATTATTCGGATCGAATTCGACAAATTGTTATTGAATGTTTAACTGTTGATCCATTAAAACGTCCAGATATATGTGGTATTGCACAATTATGTACAGAACAATTAATGTCATATACGGATCGTTCATGTACTACAATACAATCATTAGAAAAACGTTTAAGACAACGAGATCGTCAACGTGAAATTAATTTTTTAAAACAACAATCACAATTACAACAACAATCAAATTATCATCAAAGATGTTTAAGTTGTTCAAGTACGAAAGAATCACTTATAAGTAATAGTGGTGGAATGGGTGATGTTAGTTTTGATGGTACAGATGGACAACATGATACAGTTAAACAAGAAACATTTACAATGGGTAAAATTAAAAAAAAAATAAATCTATCTATATGTTTATCGAATTCGTTTTGTTTCTTTTAGTATCTGATTGTGAAACAATTGAAAATGTATCAAATAATATTATTCCACAACCACCAAGTAGTGCAACAAAACCAACTATTATTCGACGTCAACCAAATCGAATTACTTCTGAACCATTATCAACTTCAGCTGAAAGTATATATTATTGAAAAATAAAAAGAACAATTTTTTTTTTGTTAAAAAGAAAATTTTTCATTTGAAATATTTAGCTGCAATATGTCCAGCTCGATCACCTGAATCATCAAATAATCTATCATTCGAAAGTGGGTACGATAGTAATAATATAACACAAGGAATTCATCACTCTTTAAGTTTATTAAATATGGAACGAAAGTGAGTAAACGAAATTCTTTATTAGTATATTAATATTAGTTAGAATATTTTAATTGTTGTTTTTTTTTGGTGTTGAATTATTATCAATCATTGTTTGAATGTTTTATTTAGACCTAATGGTGCTATTAATCGTTCGCGGCCATCATCAGCAACTGGTTCAATATGTATATTAAATTCACGACTTCGACCTACTGATCCAGTCAGTCAATTATTAGATATAGTTCACAAAATAGTTTATATATCTTATGTATGTATTATAAAATCAAAAAAAAATTTTTTTATTCAGATGTTGTTTTATTTTCTTACTATAAGGTACCATCAAATAAAATAAATAATAAACATCGTCGTTTAGTTGATCGTTATAGAGGTTATTTATTTTCAAAAGGTTCATCACAAAATTTAAAAAGTGAATTATCAAAATTATCAACACATTCAAATGATTGCATTGAATTTGATGTTGGTATTGGTCGACAAATGATTGGTTTACAATCATTAACAAATTCATCACGATCATCATCGACTAGTTTATTAAATCTTAATGCGGGTAGAATATTGATGCTAAACATTTCTTTTTTTTTCCTAATTATTCTTTATATATTTTTTTAGTTGATTTAACTATTCCGGAAAGTGACGGATCTGTCACATATGAACAAATGATGTCATATATTGATCAAGTTCTTCGAGAAACAGATTATTATAAAGATACAGTAATACCTATATCACCTAGTGAATCTCTTCCACCGACCGTCCACAGAAATCCACGACCACCATCGGGAAGAAAATGATAACAAATTCTGACTGTGATTTTATTTGTTCATGTAATACAATGTATTTTTTTTTTCTTGTAAGATTGATTTTATGAAATAGTTGAATGCGAAAATAATGATAAATTTAAAAGACAGAATGAAAGAATGAATCGAAAAAAAAACGAATGTCAACAGTAAACATTATTTTATTCTTATTCGATGTTTTTTTTTTGAAAAAATTGTACATTTTCATTTCTCGTTTTGTCATTTTGCATTTTAGACGAACTTGTTTTTCTTTTCTCTCTTCTGTTATAACAACACATATAAAATGCAATCATTTTTGATCGATGTATTATTGAGTGCATATTTAACTGAACGTTCAAAATCAATCGATATATCACGTTTAAAATTACCGAGTATAATACAACCACAAAATGCTCTTTTATCATTAGAAACTATTTATCTTAGTATTCAACAATCATCATCATCTAATCATAATAATGATCAAACTCAACAACGAGAAGATAGTGAAAACGATGAAAGAATTGGTGGTAAAGAAAATAATGAATCATCTCAAATAAGTATAACGGTATGTGATGAAGCTAAAATTTTACAACGTCAATTTTCATGTAATCGTTCATTATTAATACGTGAAATGCGTTATTTTGCTGATTATTTAAAAGATGAACCTGATCAAGTTGAAGAAGTTGATATAAGTGTTCATTGTGATCTAGATATATTTCAATGGTTAATGTCATTTGTTAATCGAAGTTCATCATCAAAAGAACCTGAATTAGAACCACGTATAGCTGTATCCATATTAATTTCATCAGCTTTTCTTAAAATGGATAAACTTGTATTTCAATCATTAGATTATATTCATATTCATATGAATGAAATTTTAGCTACAAATTGTAATGTATCATGTATATCTGATCCATTATTTCGTCAATTATCTAAACTTTTTGAGAATCCATATGAAATTGAATTAATACATGATAGAAAAAATAAAATTCGTGGAAAATTATTTGAATGTAATTTAGAACAATTATCAAATGATAATAAAATAATTCGTTGTCAACATTGTCTTACAATAATGACTATTGAACAAATGGAAAATTTACCTTGTTTAACCGATCGATTAATTTTAAGATCTAATGGAAAATTTTATTTTCAACATAAAATTGATCTGAAATTTGATATTAATCTATGGATAAAAGAAATTCATATACGAGGAGAAAATTCGTGGAGAAATACTTTTTGGATTGTATGGTAAATATTAATTTCTTAATACTATTAATTTTCTTTTGCCTGATTTAATCTCGTCAGTGACGTTTAACATTGCGTGTTATTACATAGTAGTGTTTCAGGTCTTTCTACACTATAGAACTTTTATATGACTAAGTGCAATTTCTTTTTCCCCAACCGAAAAAAATCTATTATGAGAAGAAAAAAAAAGATAACTATTTCCTTCTTTTTTTTTAAATCTATTTTCAAGGTTACATACTCATGGTGATCAATGTGCACGTTGTAATTCATATTTTCGTTTCATTGACTTTTCAACATGTCCTTATCATCCACTTTCATCTATAACTGATGGTAAACATGATTGTTGTTCACAATTAATTGGTACATTTGATATATTTCAATCAAATATTCGAGAAACTGGTTGTCAAAGACGTGAACATATTTGTCAAAAACAGAATTATTTATCTGAAATTTATGAAAATTTAGATAAAATTGAACTTGTTAAACATCATCCACAATTTCGAATTTCACGTATTAATCCAAATTATACAAATGAAATGATTAGTAAAGTTATTGAACAATCTATATATGGTTCATCAAATATCGAAATCAAAAAACAATCAATTCATGCACAATGGACATCTTTAATTGATGCACAACCATATGGATCAGATGTGAAATTTTCTTGGGATGCAACAAAATCTACTCGTTGGAATCAAGATACACAACGCGAAGATGAACATCGACGTTTTGATGAAATGCTTCGTTATATGCAATCAATACAACAAAATACTAAAATACCTAATAATCGTACATTAAAAGAAAACACTTCATCATCATTTATTTCACCGGGTGGAATTTACTGTCGAATTGAAAATGAATGGAGAACACGTCAAAATAGTTCTCTTAGTAATACTACTACTGCTATTACTACTACTATGAATAAAAATCGACACCGTATTACAGTTAAATAATCAAACACATATACTTTTATGTCATACATTCATGACTGAATATTTCTACGTAGTGTTGATTTTGTTTTTTTTTCTTTTCTTTTTGTTGATATTATTTGATCTGTATGTGTTTGTCAGTTAGCTATGTTTGATGCACAAATGAATATAAAATAGTTCATGCAAATATAAAATGAAAATACAGGTTAATAATAATTATTTTCATGATTAAAATCAATGTAAAAGATTCGATAGATGAATTGAATTGTTTTACTCTAAAACTACTGATAGTTCAAACAAAAAATAATCAATTTTAAAATACAAGAATCATTTTGACATTGGTAAAAATTGAGCAAAATATATGTTTCTATTTAAGAATACTCTTCTGCTTTTCTGAAGTTTCTAGAGAATAACTCATCAGAAAAATTTGAAAGTTTCAGAACAGGTAAATCTTGATGAATAGAGCAAAAATTTATCATCTCAGATGCTATCTTCTATGACATACTGAGATCCCAATGGCGGAAAACATTTCCCGCTGTTTCTTCGAGATGTTATGTTCGATCGAGCTGAAATTTTTTTTACACACAATAGACAATGTTTGAGATGAATTTCTTTTTTATTTTTTTATCCATCCCTTAAAAACGTCAAAATATCAAAGGTATCTTGAATAGAGCTACTACAAATCAGCAGAACAATATTTTTTGAAATCGAAAAAGATCATCCATTCTAAACTGTGTATAATATATGTGAAAAAAGTTTCAGCTTGACCGGACATATTAGGCCGAAGAAATGGAGTAGGTTTCTGTACTTTTTTTCTTTTCATGAAAAAGTTAGTTTGAAAAAAAAGACGAAAAAATGTATAGTTTTCGCTAATTTGATTCCTTCTCGAATTTTTTCTGAATATTTAAAGACAATTTTTCGATCCAAACATTTAGTCAGTAGATAGATATTATTTAAGGTTATACAATAGTCACAAAAAAAACAAAAATTTTGGGTGATGAAAAGGAACGGGATACCCTTAATGTAATCACAGCATTATTAATAATTAGATTGATTATTATTATTATTTTCATGCATCATTAGGATTTTGAACAATAAAATTTTGATTCTTAATTTAATCAAAATATGAATAACAGCAACTTATGTGTATTTTATGTCAACCGGAACATTAAATTCTATGAAAGCATATTTTATAACATATTTTTCTATTTATTTTTGTTCTTTAATCATTCTGTGATAAACTAGAGGAAGAGAAAAATAGAATATGTGTTACATAGACATACATAAATGAAGTAAATTTGGAAAGGAAAAAAAAAATCTTAAATAATCTGACACATAAAATAAAGATTGAGTTCGAATTTATTTTTATATGCCTCGAAATGATTTAAAAACCATCCAAAAACCATAGATCATTATTGTTACAGATATAAACATTCCTACAATTGGATCAAAATACCAAACACTTTGATTTGAATTATAAATTGTTACACTAATCACTACAGATAATGCCATTAAACCTGATATTAAAGTATTAAATGCATCCGAATATGCTGAAATAACATTTAATTTTTTTGCTACTGAATATTTACCAAATGCTAAACAAAGGAATATTATTGTTTGAATAGCAACAGCAACAACTAAATAATGATTAGGTATTGGATGAATTTTATGACGAATGTCAACTACTGAATCAATGAATACACCAAGACCAGAAAGAACAAATAGTACTGCTAAAATTCTTAATACATAAATTTCTCTTTTAACTTGGTCATGTGTACTTGTAAAACGCCATATAATAGTTACAAATGCTAATACATCAAGTATTGTATCAACAGCAAAACCAAGTGCTGATGCTGATTGTTCTTCTACAGCTAAGAAAAATGTTATTAAACCACAAACTGTACTAACCACAATTGAAATAATATTTAATGTAATAAGTGCATGACGAGTTGTTGTTTCTTCTTCGGCTGATAATAATTGATTTGTTGGTACAAATAAATCGATTTTTTCATTATGTTCTGAATCTTTTGGAAGATCTGATCTTGTAACAACAGTTAATTTTGATGCTGGTGCATCATTATCAAATCTTTCATAGCGAGCCATGTAAGAAAAATACTAATAAGAATAATCTGAAAATAGAATATAATTTTATGAGTTCATGTTTTTTTTTATCGAGCATTGTTATTGTTATTGATCGACTACTGCGAATGGATCACATCATTAAAAACTCTGTGTGCGTGTATGTGCGACTGAGTAAATGTTTTATATTGCATTCACAGCTTTCTCTTTTCTTTTTTTTTCTTGCACACCCGAACCTTCTTCATCATTAACAGTAGCGAGTGTCGTTTCCATTTTTTTTTTATATTATTAATCATCTCTGACTTTTTTTCTTGTACCTCTTTGCTTTGCAAACTAATAGTATTCTTCTTTTTTTTCTTTTTCTCTCGACTATTACTTTATGGAATCTACCATATATAATGAAACGAGAACACAGGTGAACTACTTGTTGATGTTATTGCCGGAACTAATGCTACAACGAGAACGTATACCCGTTGGGCTTTAATAGATAGAAGAACACGCATATAAAATGTACAGAACTGAATTCATAATATTCAATAGATGAAAACAACTATAAAAGAGTACAAAATTATATCGTCTTCTTTTCTAATGTGACAGTCATAATAAGACAGAACACTATTCGAACTATAATCTATATTCTACCTTATATGTAATAATATATTTTGTTTTGTTCTGTACTGCAACATTTGATGTTCTCTTTTTCTTTATATTTCTTCTATTCGCCTTGTCATTAACATGTCAGACATTTGTTAGTAGTTATAGTATCTACAACAACTTCTTTCCGTTTTTTCTCTATTGTCTAGTTTTGAATATATTCTCTCTTCTCTTCTCTTCCTTTTCCTCTTCCTCTTCAAACATCTTATACTGACAGGCAACAAGCGTACCAATTAATTATGAATTTGTATAGATGTTCTCTTTTTCTCTATTCAGTTTTAGGCGATCTATATGTAGTATACTTCAAATTTGAACATCATCATCTTTACCCATCATACACATATACAATATATATATATATATATATATATATTCTAGAAGATTTTCTTTAATTATAACTAAGAAGAGAAAAAAATAAATGAGATGAGAAGAAAATGAAGTAGAAGCAATATGATGCGTAGGCAAGAAAAAAAAAAAGAAGACTGTAGCTAATTCATTTTTTTAGTAATCACCAGATGGAAAAAGAAAGAGAAAGAAACTCCTCGCTATTCACACGCAAACTCAATTTTATAAGCTGCCAACAGCTTTGAGCTCCGGCGATCAACCGTGCTATTTACTCACTACATCATATAAAAAAGACTCGTCTTCCAATAGTCGACAAACAGCACGAGACAAGTCTATAATATGAACTTATCGTTAAGACTATAATGCATGCTCATACTGTGTATATCCGTCTTTATATTAGAAAAAAAAAGAAATTTGAGATATAAAAAAAAAAGTGTCAACATTAATTAGTTTCAAAAAACAAATGATGTTTCCAGAAGAAGATAATAGATGAGAAATGATATTGACAAGAAATTTATTTTTGTTTTATTAAAAAAACATCATCATCAAAAAACTAAGTTAGAAATAAGATACAACGAAAAACAAAAAAGCAAAAATTTCATTTTTTGAATCAATTTCTATGTTTGGTTGCTATGTGTACCGATCTATCTGTAAGAAAGAGTCGATGAACAACAAATCAAGATAATCGTTTCATACGCGCGAACTTATCCACCTATGTAAAAACTGATTGAAACTGTGTTGTTTTTTTTTCTTCAAATGAATGAAAAAATAATGACAACTATTGATCATAAACGACATCGTTCAATAACAAAATCAATTGAAGATAATACAACAAATCGAACAAAAAGAAAAACATCATTAATCAATTCAGACATTATTCATACAACAACAAAAAAACTTGATATAGTTAAATCAATTGAATTTGAACCAAGAGATCAGTATGAATTTTATATTTGAATAAATTAAAAAAAAAATCAAAGCATGATATTTGCATATATGTATATATTCTAGAAACCAAAATATCGATTCCTATTCACAAATAGATGAATCTACATTGAGTCTAAATACTACTACTACTACTAATAATAATAATAATCATAATTTCGATCAAGGTTAGTTACAAAAAAAAATAAATATTCAAACTAATTCAATTGATTGATTGTTAGTAGAAAATGATTTTGATGATTACGCTGATCGAATTTTTAATTATTTGGGTGAAACTTATACTAAACGAATAAGTTCATCTTTACCTGAAATTGAAATTAATCAAATTAATTCTTCTTCTCCTCAATCTATCATACCAACACATCCATCTGATAATGATATAAAACCATTTTTATGTGCTTTTTGTCCATATTTTGCTCGTAATATTCAAGAATTTCAAACACATATTGCAAAACATACGGAAAAAAATTTTCGATGTTTATTATGTAATTGCATGTAATTATTCAAATTTGTTATTGTTTTCATCTTATAGTATTCTTTATTATTTAAAGGTATAAATATAGACGAGATTGTGTTACACATATGAAACGTAAACATTCAAATAATGTTACCGGTAAATCTAAAATAGTGTAAGAAAAGTATTTTTTTTTAGATTCGGTTTTTTTTAAGGATCAATTTCACAATATATACAAAAAATTAATAGTACAACAACAAATAATAATTCAACTCATCCATCATCATCATCAATTCATTCAATAAATCCAAATAAATCAAATTCATTTGTTGAACCAAAACGATATGGATGTCCATATTGTTCATTAATGACCAAATCAACTTCATCAATATATAAACATCAATCACGTAAACATGCAACATTTCCTAAAATAGTTCATAAATATTCAACAGATGATCCGAATACACGTAGTATTGTTGCTATACTTAAACAAAAATCAATAAAAAGTAAGAATTTAGTTATTTTTAATATTAATAATTTTTGATTTAATAATATAGAACCAATTCTTCAAACAATTGAAGGTAAAATCTTTTCCCTCATTTAATTAATCATTTGATAATTGAGGCCGTTGATTCAAAATTTTCAGATTCGGACTCGCTTAACAAAAAAATTTCAGACCGAACCCAGACTCGATGGGGTCTATTCTAGAATTATATATAAAATTTTATTTCTAGATGAACAACTTATTAAATCTCAAATTCCTAATGAATCTTTAAATGTCAATGATTTACATGATCCATCAAATGTATCATCATCATTATCACTTACTCATCATCATACAGAATCTTTTCCATTAGTAAATCGTCATCGATGTGCTGCTTCAAAACATATTGTAAGTTCTTGATATTTCTATATGAAATAGAGTCTATCTCAAATCACGAAATGTTGTGTGCTCTAATTAAACTATCTTAAAGTTCATACAGAGAGAAAAAAAAAAGAATTTATTGAAATACTACATCTTTGATCATAAAACAAATGATCCATAATACAATCAATGATATTCAATATGAAACTATTTTCTATTAGACTGCTCATAATATTCATTCATCAAATGGTCGTCTATCTAAACTTTTTCAATGTTGTTTATGTGGTTATCGGGCACGTCACCGTAGTAATGTTGTACGACATGTTAAAAAAATTCATACAATTGATTTTAATGAATCAAATCTATCAACGACATTAGTTAATAATGAAGCAACATCTCAATTAATAGAAAATATTACATCAGATTATAATAATCAATCCGATGAAAATTCTGATAAATTAATTATTGATCATGATGATGAAAAAACAAATCTTAATGATTCAAATTTAGAAAAAATACCAAATTATTCATTTAATACTACTGTTCAAGCTCCACTTATACTTAATAAAATTACAAATAATAATAATAATGATCATTCAACACATCCTTATGCTGATATTCATCTTTCAATAAATATTTTTCTACCAAAAAAAAAGAAACAAAATTTAGTTAATTAAATAAAGAAAAAAGTTTCTTTTATATAATTTTGTTTTTTTTTTTTAATTTTTAGTTTGATCGAACAATAAGTGATTATAGTAATAGTGAAGATAATCCAAATGATATTTATTCTGATGAAGATACAAGTGATGATGATGATGATATAACAAAAATTCATATAACATCATCTCATCAACAGAATCTTTCTAATGGATCATTATATAAACCACATAAATGTCGTCGATGTTTCTATCGATCAAATTGGAAAACTGATATGCTCCATCATATTCGCCTTAAACATCATATAAATCAAGCAACCAAATCTGATTATATATCCATGGATTTTGATACAGCTTTACGTACATTTTCAAATTATGAAAAAACATTTGGCAAAGTACTTAAAAGTATAATTAGAAATTTTTCATCAAAAAAAACAACAAATAACACCAAGTTATTAATCTTTTGTTTTCTTTTGTTTTCTAATAGATCGATTATTATTACCCAAAATAGACTATATTGATTGTACATGGGAAGAATTAAAATCAAAATTATTTATTAATGATGAACAAAAAAAAACAAATCGACAAGGTTTTTTATCTTCGTCATTAATTGAACAAACAGCAATTATTAATAATAATACTTTTTCATTGATCAATAATGTAGAAAAAAAATCTATTGATTGACAATAACCAACCAACGTTTTAAATATCTATAAGAAATGAAAAGGGAGAAAAAAAAATAAAGAACATTTATAACTGTTCAGTCAACATTGATCGATAAAACAAATGAATAGTTATATTGTCTTTTTTCTTTGTCAATTTCGTGCTAATTAGTTATCAATTCATAGTGATGTAAAAGAGCGTCTTGTCTTCTCATTTATTTTGATCGAAATACCAATTCACTTTCTTTCTTTGTCTATATTCTCTTTATGTACAATTAACACATCTAAATATATCTATATATCTATATATATATATTCTGACCGAGTCAATCATCATCTGTAGCAGACATACAAAAAAAAGGTGGAAGAAGCTCAGTCAGACATCTGTCAGCTAAATTACTTCACTATACATTTGCACACGTCAGTTAGAATTGAAAAAAAAAGTAGCTTGAACTCATTCTTCTTCCTTTTTTTCTTTCTTTATTTATATTTCATTTGAAAAATGACAAAAGAATTGCTTAATTATGTTTAATTAGAAAAAGCTCACTCATATACAATTAATTAGAGTAGTATAAATTATTGAAATAACGTAAAAATCTTATTGAGATAGATAGATGACATCATTAAGTTTATGTGAAGATAGATACTGTCACGGAATCGAATCAATAACAAGGTTTCTTTTAATAATAATAATAATAATAGCAGCAACAGTTGTAGTTTTTTTGATAGGCATCACAACAGAATCCTACTTGAAGAAAGGTCATTGGATAATTACTCAGTATATATTCTTGTCCAATGTACATATACAGATAATTAAGTGATGAGTGTTCTTGGATATTCTTTGTCAGAGGATGTTCAATACAATGTAACTTTTCATAATCTAATAACAAATGACTTTTGTTGAAACAACAATGAAGATTATTTTTTTTTTCTTTGTATCTTATGCTTTTGTTGAATCAATATGATGATGTATATAGGACAAAGTGGGTGGTGATATATGTATATGTAAATGTAGTATTGTCTTTCAAATGCTCATTTTTGTGTACTAATATAAAGGAAATTGTTCAAATTGATACCTTCCACTTGAAGTAAAGCTCATCAAGTGGGGTTTTTTCTCTTTTTGAAGTTTCTCTCTTCTACTTCTTTTTCTTCTCATCTCATCATCATCATCAAGTGAGAGAGAGAGAGAGGAAAGATTGCACACTTTTCTTTCTCTCTCTCTCTGTCTCTCTCTCTCTTGATTTTAACACTACTATATTCGCTTTCTTCTTCCCTCCTTCTTTCTTATTATTGTGGTTTCTTTGTACACATATACAAGTATATATACATTTTCTATATCGACGCGTCGTCACCAAATTCTTACCTATCTATAGAACTTACATATATACATTATAATAGACATGCATACAATGCTTTAGTTTGTATGTTCTCTCTCGGTACCTTACATGACATTTTAATATCTACCGACATATGATTTTTTTTTGTTCTTTTTTTTAGCTACGGAAGCATAACACCTATACTATTGTTATTGTGACGCTGGCTAATATACCATAATATATCTAACAGTTGCCGACTATTGCTGTGCTCAATTGACCAACAGTTATATATAAACATCAATAGATTAATCTTTTTATATTAGTAGACATGCCAATCGATAAGAGAAAAATGCCGAATGTTACTAATCACTATACATGGTTACCATCGATGAGTTCTACTAATACAATTTATTTACTTTTAATATTTGTTTCACTTATTTGGAACGCTTACAACACATATCAACATCAAATTTTAATTGAAAAGCAATTGAAATTAGAAAATATTCTTGCAGAAATATTACCATTGACATCTTCATTATCATCTTTTAATCATATACAAACGGCAACAACAACAACAACAACAAAAACAACAAACATATTATCAGTTGAACAATGGCTCACAAAAGTTCTTCATTTGATTCAACAATTAACATTAAAAAATTTGACAAATAATAGCAGTAGTAATACTATTGCTAAGCCATATAGGGTAAGAATTATAATTGTGGAAATGCTTTTTGAGAACCTTGACACTTGTATTTGTATATATATATATATATATATGTATGGTTCTCGTCAAGGTCATACTCGTTTATTTGAAACATGCATAACAAATTAAACGAGACGGTAAAAGCTCTCAAAGTGCTTCTGCTTGTCGAACATCAAATGTTAATGATAAAAGATTTTTGCTTTAACTTTTTGACACATTATGTCGAGTACTACTGAGAGTTTATTGTTACAAATTTCTTTTTTTTTTATTTTATGCATGTATATATCGGTCAATCAGAAATAGAAATGTTATAGAAAAAAAAAAGAGGAAAGTAAAGAAGGAAAATTGATATCCTTCTTACCGTTTCATTTAATTTATGTTCATCTTTACCTTTCAATTTTAGAGATTAAAGTAAATATGATCTTAGTATATTGTCATCATTAACAAAGTGATTGCACATATCTTTTGCTTGTCAAACATTTTGTTTAAAACTAAACGAACAAAAATGTCTTTTCTTTCGTCTATCATTAATATCAAATTGAAATGACTACCAAGGTTTTTCTTTTGTCATCTGTTCATAAGGCATATACACATATATGTTCTTTCATTCTCATTACCTAAAGTGATAGACACCGGGGTCATAAAACGACGATGAATAGGGTATATATGCATCACTTTAAGTCGTCGAGTGGATGAACATATAAGAACTCAAAAAAAAAGTTTATAGTGCGCAATGATGTTGATGATGTCTACATTTTAAAAATGAACGCGTGTTCATCCACTTTACCTAAAACAGAATGCATATAAGATGACCAAGGAATTATCGTTATGACATTCTCTAGTTCTACAATCAATAATTGATATTTGTAAGACATAGACATTTGATCATTACGCGATGAACATATCTATGATTGATACAAATATAAAAACTGAAGAACTTCAAGTTGTATGTCACTAGCTTTTTCTTATTGTCGTCAAGAACATTATGTTCATTGGATGATGTAACAACATACATTGTATTGATATATATATATATATATATATATGTGTGTATATGTGTGAAAGAACATGACAAAATAATAGTAATGAAAAACAACATATTGATTAAGTTGAAATGACCTTTTTCACACATTGAATAGAAGATAATCTTATCGGGTTTTTTTTAATATTCATTCTATACAATAATTGAGTAGATGTTTATTAAGATTTATATTTTATCCTCGATGTAAAATTTACATTGATCTATCGAATTATGATATAGTTGAAACAAACAAAAAGAAAAAAGATTTGTATTATGTCTCTTCTTTTATTGTATCTTTAAAATAGAATGTAGTACGTCAACGACGACAGATTGAACAGTCACAACAATCTAATTGTTTATGTTCTCCGGGTAAGGATTTTATGATTTTTCAGTTTTGTCTCATATACATCTATGAATATTTTATAGGACCTAAAGGCGAAAAAGTATGTTGTATATTTCACTAAAATGTATTGTCTGATTGATAATATTGTTTTTTATTGTAGGGCGATCGTGGTTTTGCTGGATATCCGGTAAGTTATAATTAATGAAAAATTTTGTACAGAAAATATTTCTATTGTTTGTTCTAGGGTGACACGGGACCTAAAGGTGAACGAGGTTTTCCAGGTTCAATAGTTTGGAATGGCTTAAAAGTAAGTGTCGGATTTGTAATATATAATCTTTTTTGTATAATAAATATAACAATCTGTTATTAGTTAATTGACAGAAAATAGATGAAGTTTTTAATTTTGTTTAGGGTGAAAAAGGTGAACCTGGACGCGATGTAGAATCAAGTCGTGAAGGAATGTCATTATCATCAGCGCAAGCCAAGTACATTCCAGGTCCACCTGGTCCACCAGGATCTAAAGGTGATGTGGGTCCGGTTGGACCCAGTGGCATTGGTGAAACTGGACCACCTGGACAAGATGTATGTTCTATTTATTGACTCATGTTTCATACCTTGCTTAATATTCTTTTCTTCTGACTTTTAGGGTTTACCCGGCGAGAAGGTATGTAAATATAACACTTTGGACAGAAATTAAAAAAAAAAGACTATAGATTGAAATGAGAAGATAGTAGTAAAGATAAAAAAAAAGGGAAACCATGCAACGTTCAATCTTTTTGTTATTAATTTCTATTTTGTGTTCATATAATTATGCTTTATACAACTCTCTAAAGCTTTTATTCGTCTATAATTGATGTCCTTCCTTCCTTTTCTCGCTTTAGTATAGTTTATAGTCATATCATCAGTTATTTTCGGTTGCATGTTTCCATTGCTATTCGTATTGATGCTTATTTGAATGAATATTATTTGTTTTTGTTGTGATCTATTTTTTAAAACGCAGGGTGAAAAAGGTGATCGAGGACCTATAATTCGGCCAAAAGTACGCAGATTTGTTGTTATGAAAGGTGATCCAGGACCACCAGGAATTAAAGGTAACGAATCTATAAAAAAACATCAATTGTGTATAATTATAAAGTTTTTATTTATTACAGGAGAACGTGGCGATTTTGTTGTTGGACCTAAAGGTGATCGTGGTGCTCCTGGTTTACCCGGAAGGTATAAGGAATAATAACATAAAGGTGAAATATGTTTGTTTGTTTTCTTTTTTTGCAGTCCAGGACTTCCAGGACAAAATGGTCGTGATGGTATAGATGGACTAAGAGGTGAAATAGGTTTTCAAGGACCACCGGGAAGAAAAGTAAGAATCGATTTATGAGTAGAAAAAGAAAATAATGAATATGAATGTCATGACATGACATTGTATTTTATCGTTATTTCATTATTTCAAGGGAGATCGTGGTGTAAAAGGTGAACCAGGATTTATTCAGAAAGTTGATTTCAATTCAACACATATCGTCCTAATGGGTCCACCGGGTCTTCCAGGACCAAAAGTAAAATAAATTTTTAGAATAATGCCTTTTGTTTTTGTTAATTTTTTCTAGGGACGAATTGGTCTTCCTGGTCAACCGGGATTAGATGGAGAAAAAGGAGGTCGAGGTGATCCTGGTCCAATGGTAAAAAAAGAAAACATATATTTCATAGACATAATAGAAAAACTAATTTCTAAGAAAACTAATGAATTTATTTTTTAGGGAATAATAGGATCACAAGGAGATGTTGGACCTCCTGGACTTAAGGCAAGTCTTATATAAAATATATGTAATATTTGTCTTTTAGTTCATTATTTTCAATCGTTCTAGGGTGAAAAAGGTGATCAAGGCAAAGGAGAAAAAGGAGATCGTGGTCCAATGGGTTTACCTGGTTATTCAATGGTAAGAAGAACATATATCTCAGATTATTTTTTTTTTTGTTACATCAAAAATTCATTTTAGAATATACCTGATATGCCTAAAAAACGTTCAGCGGTACGTATTATGATTATTGTTTCATATATACATTGCATATCTTTGTATAAATGTTTATTATATTATACTAAATGTAATATACATTGATGTCATAATCGAGGTTATATACATATATGTAAGGCGTTGCTGGTTTCCTTTTGACAATATTTAAAATAGATCAATATTGATCGAAATTATTTTATGCTATTTGTTTATTGATTTCAGGGTAATCGAGGTGAACAAGGTTTACGAGTGAGAATAAAACATTCGATTTTTGACTTTTGCTTTAAATTATTTTTTGTTTAGAGTCCACCAGGAGAAAAAGGAGAAAAAGTATGTGAATGATAAGAAATTCTTTTTCTAATGTTGTATTTTAAAAATAATGTTTTCTTTTTAGGGTGAAGAAGGTCGAGAAGGACGACGAGGTTTACGTGGTCGACCAGGTTTACCTGGTCCTGCTGGAATGGATGCATTACCATGTCCACGTGAAGTTTTATCTAACTTTGAAAATGCATGTCATTTATGTTGTAAAAACACATAAGAAATATATCGTAAGATATGTTTAACAAAAATATTTCAAGAACAAAAAAAACATTAATTTAATTTATTTTATTCAATGTGACGAACTTTGAAAAAATTCTCACTGATCTCACTCCTATTCTCCGGTGCTATATTTTTCAACAGTTAAAAATTAGTGGAAGAAGAATCGCCTGGGATCAATCGAAATTGGATGACATACATTTTCTTTTTTTGTCTTTTCTTTTGTTTTCTTTTAAATTGTATTGTCTTTTCGTTTTATGTAATGCATGTGTGTGTGTGTGTTTTGTGTATTATTGTTGTATATAGATTATTCTCTATAGTAAATTTTTGTTCGGATATGTAACAACAATAAAAGAAAATTATAATTTAGATTTTATCGTTTCTTTTGGTTTTTCCTTTATTTGAAGAATAACGGGTGATCGGAAAGTTTCTAGACAAGATGTTTGTTCATTTTTCATCTGTTAGAAAATATTTCCGATGAATCAAAAGCTATGATTTTATGCTCTTTTCATATATCATCTTAGAAATGTTGTCTATGTTTTCGAGAGTAGTAAAATAATTTTGAAAAGGCTAAAAAATTAGTTTGGATGGAAAAGTTTTGTATTTTCACAATTGTGATTCGAAACTCAAAGTTGGGATCTTTATTCATATATCACCTTGTAGATTAGAAACTATCCTACGAAATTCATTCTTTAAAAGTTTTTTTTTTGTCTTTCAACAACACACTTCAATTCTCGCTTCTCCTAAATACTCATTTTTGAAAAATTGATAACCGTTTTACGTTGAAAGAAGCTCTTGAAAAAATGATTAATTACAAACTATCGTTTAGTTTAATATTTCATTTTTTAGAGAAGCGTTTGCTTTAGAAAATGACCAAGTCTGACAGTTTTTAACATGTTTAAAAAGAAACCTAGGGGATAAACAAAACCTGTTGACTTATCATTAAAATTAATTCTTCAAGTAATAGTCCTTCATTACACTTCAATACAAATAAACACAACGTTTCTAAATCTATATTCAAAAAAAAAATACAAAACTCGGGTCACGACTCGTAGTTTTTGGCTCGTCCGAAATGCTTTCAAGCAGGCAAAAATGAGCAAACATGTTCATCGAAAACGCTGACCCACAAATTTCGTTCAAATTAATTCTATTAAAATTTTTAAAGATTATTTTAGCACTCTAGAACAAAATTTCTAAGACTATATTTGAAAAGAGCACAAAATCATAGCTTTTGACTTGTCAGAAATACTTTCTAGCAAATCAAAAGTGAATAAGTACCTTGTCTAAAAACTTTTCGATCACCCGTTATATCGAATGATAATAATAAAATAGAAATATCAGGAAATAAAACAATGCCCGTAACCATTTTTTAGTTAATAAATATAATGATGATGTTTGATTGCAAAAATGCGTATTATTACAACAAAAGATTTTTTCTTTTATATTAATATTTGTTGTTGAATATTCAGATTTACATTGAATATCGAATATTGATAATGATGAAAGTTCAGTAAAACGAAGACAATCTTTTATAATATCAATATGATAATCAATTATTTTAATATATTTAACACAACCAATAGCTTCTTTATATGAACAATAAATATGATAAGGTTGAGAGCAATCAATAAATCTTTTTGATTCAATAAGTGATATATGAGAATTTATATGATCTATTTGACCACAATAAATACAAAAAAAACCGAATGATAAATTTAATGTATTATTTGTAGATATTTGAATTGTACATTGAAATATATCAATAAGAACAAATAAAATTGAACATTTTCTTATAAAATTGAACATGTGAACAAAATATTTGAATAATGACGATCATTGAAAATGAAAACAAGAAAGTAACTTGTTTTTGTTTTATTTAAAAATAAGAGAAATAGAAAGATGAAAAGTTTAAATATCGCAAAGAATAAACGTATTTTATTATTTACATAGTAACAAATAGAAAATTAGAATAATATTTTAGTTTGAATGATTAAATGATATATATAATAAGATTTTATAAATAAAATAACAGATATATATATCGAATAAATTTATTGTATTGTAATAGGTTTTCATGTAATGAAATGAAAACTTACAAAAGAAGCATTCTTAGTTATCAGATATTGTATGACTTCCTATTTTACTCATGAATACTTCTCGATGAGATTAAGAAAACATTAAAAGAAGTGAAAGCTATCATCATTTTAGATGGAAATCTTATACAGAATGTATATTTTATTAAAAGAAGCTTCAAAACTTTTAACTTCATTGGTTTTATGAATTTCAAAGTATGATTATTTTAATTTCGCTTTGTTATAACAACGTAAAAGTAGAAAATAAAAAACTAAAAAATAGGATATATATATATATAGTCTGTCGACTCAAAGACTATGTAAATAGTAAAAAAAAATGTACAAGATCAAATCTACTGGCTCCATCCAGGCGGATATTCGGTGAAAAATTGAAAGTGTACTTTCTGATGATTTCAATAGAGGTACATATATTCGGATCTATGAATTATTTAATGACATAAAAGTCTTTGCTTCTCTTGTTAGTACAAAGAAAACCTCGTCAATAAATGCTGCTAGTAAGGATTAAGAGCCTTTTCTTTTTTTTTACTGTAAATTAAAAACATTACAAGAAAATCATATATATCATCTGAAAATGTGTTTTTCGCTCTATCGGTTCGTAAAAAAGGCTTTCACTTTGATCTCTTTGAAATTCAAGAAAAGTCATTCTTCTTTAACATCGAATGCTTTTATGAAAACATATGTTCAATATAATGAGCTTGCACAATTTTTCACAACTCCAAATTTGACGAGACTTTCACCGAGTCTTCTTTCACTCACAACACCGATATAACATTAGCATGAATCGGCGCCAGCATTCTATAGTTGACGTATAGATTTTCAAGGTAAAATTCCTTTCTTTCAACATAGAAACACTTTTATCGAAGACTAATGTCATATTTGGAATCAATATCGAATGATGTAAGGTCTCAACAAAGACCATCATGAAAATCAACTCATATCTAATATTAAAAAAATTTAAATCTAATAGTTATAGATTTTCTTCCATTGAATAATGTAAATGAATGTTATCGTATCAGTATTTGTTAGTTTCACAGCTAACTTTCGGTATTTTTTGAAATATACTACCTAAAAGGAGTACTGAAATATAATAGTAGAATTTTAGGTCCTCCCTCCTCCCCAGAATGTGCATCTAGGCGCACATTTGACTAAAAATGAAAATTGTACTTTTTCAAGGTCTAAACATAAGGAAATATACTTCGAAATATAGTCTATCTAATAGTGTAAATAGCTTTGTTACAACACTCAAGGAAACTGAAAAACTAGCTGTCGAAAAATTAGTCTGAAACTGTGACGTCATCGGCAAAATTGATATATGGTAAAATTAAACCTTTCGACACACAAATTAGGCACATTTTCGGAATCTCCAAACCAAGCGCTATACAATAGTAAAAAATATTTTTCATTTGCACATTTTACTTCTCAGAAAAACAAATAATATTTTTTCTCTAGTGTCATCTGGACGATCTAGATTTGTAAAACGAACAATTCACTCGCATCCAACCTTGAAATTTTCCAAATTTGGCCAGAATGTTCGTGTATCTACTGTCTCTAATCCCTGTTAGCGCAAACATTACTGGGCTGCAAAATAGGTTTCGAAAACGTCTAGGTTTTTTAGTTTTTTTGATTTTGGAAAAATATTTAATCGACAAAAATAGTATATTTGGAATCATCGTATTTAGGGAGCTCTCTCAGAAAACACAATTTTTTGAAAAAATATCAAAGTTGACTTTTTGTCATAGGAAGATGTATCGAAGCTTCCTCTTTCAACGTGTATATGGCTTTTCGAAAAATGACTAGAGTTTCAAGGACTTATTAGAGGAAACTTCGACTCTACTGCCATGTTTTCGGAGAAATTTTAGTGGTTTTTTTTAAAGTTTTTCTGTTTTAGAAAAACTGCGTTATCACTTGTATTAGTATTGAATAGAACATTTTTATATTAACCAGCATGACGGATGGCGTTAGCTATCTTCATCTGTTACGTGCTTTAAAACAATCCACTGAAATGTATCAAAAATATGCAATTGTAACGTGCTTTTTTTTCTGAATTTGAATGAAAAAATTCATTTCCATAACTTCTTCAGCATTTTTCTCAAATCCTGATTTCCAGGCAGAAAAATTGAAATAACTTCGATCCGCCTCAGGGTATAACCCATGTTTTGTTTTTGTTTTAAAAGTCTAAATGAGAGCTAACTTTTGATCGGACGGATTCTTTTGACACTTGATTTCTGGATTGAGAAAAGTAGGATTTACTGTCGAGGTAGTCACCTTTTTTATGCTTATTTTGAACAGCATGTCCGCTAAAATGCTCATAAAAAAAATGACTGGAAGGAAGTTTCAAAATTCTGTTCGATGAAAAGTTTCACACAGAGGCTAGTTTTAATTTGAAACCAGCCCAAACTTTGTACCTTTTATAACGATAAAGTTATTTCGATTCTCTTGAAAGCTATAAAAATAAGCCAGAAGTTTGGTCTAGTAGGGTATATCAAACTAAAATTTTTACCACAAGCGTTTCTCACTGAAACCATTCATCCGTGAAAACTTCAATCGAAACGGTCCGTTCTAAGTGACAAATCAATTCTGAGGAAAGCCCTTAAGCTGTGTCAAATGATATATATAACACAAAACAATTTTGAAAAAATTTTCTCAAAAAAATGAGGACAAAAACCCGTCAGGCATTTTTTGTCGAACAACTTTTTTTCTCAAAAAATGTTTTTTTTCTTTACAATGTTCTTTTGGGTCATATCCAATAATTTCTGAGCAAAGAAACCAGTTTTCGAGCAAAAAAGTAACATGTACACCTGCCATGCACTCAATGCACACTGTACTCCTTCACCCATCTCCCACAGACATGACAAACATTATTGACATGCGATCACAGATCGTATATCAATAATGTCTCATTATCATATATAAACTTTTTCTTCATTACATTTCTGAATGACTAAGTAAAAGTATGGTGAAGAAATGTACCTCAAAATAGATAAAATAAAACAATCTTTCTGTAGATCTGTTAGTATGACACTTCATGAAGATAATAAATGATCTATATTAATTATACCTTTGTTTCACTTTTCAAATTATAAGACCATTCAAATTGAATGTTGGCAACAAAAAAAAAATGCTTAAATAAAACAGTTTTGTGTAACAAATATATGAAGAATAGAAGAAAAATAAAATTGTTAATATGTTTCATCGGAACGTTGACGTTGAAGTCCATCAGCCATTTTGAAATCTTTCCCATTTGGATATTTTGGTGGTTTTAATTTTGCATCTTCAACTTCAATTTCAAATCGATCATGTTCAATACCATTAATTTTAGCTTCCAGTTTTTTTTCTTCAGCATCTTGATCATCGTTATCTTCTGCGATTGCTTCTTGTTCACGCTCTTCTAAAGTTTTCAGTTCGGGTTTCTCTCCATGCCATATTTTATCAGCTATACCACCACGTGCTTGTAACTCATTAACAGCCTCAGTAGCATCCAGTTCTCTTGCCCATGCTAATGGTGTATTGCCATCAGAATCCTAAATATATACATGATAAAGTCTTTTATAATCAATATAAATGAATATTTCTTACTTTAACATTAATATCAGCACCTTTTTCTATAAGTAATGTTAGTATGTCTATATTATTATGTCCTGCAGCTAAATGCATTGGACTCCAACCTGATTGGTCTAATGTATTCATTGGTATTTTGCCTTTTTCAATTAATAATTTTGCTATATCATAGTAACCATCATCAACTGCATAATGTAATAAATAAAATGCATTTTCATTTTGACTATCATCAAGCATATCAGGTGTTGGTGCAACACGAGCTCCATGATCCATAAGTATTGTTATAAGCTCTAAATATATGTATATATATATAATCAAAATAATACTATTGTTTTATTAGAAATAATTAATCTTACCAACATCACCGAAATTCATAGCATCTGCAACAAGACTCATACCTCCAACCCAATCACAATCAATTTGAGCACCACGTGCTAATAACATACGAACATTTTGTTTACTACCACGATTAACAGCTGTCATTAATGGAGTCCAGCCATGTCCATCACGCATTTCCAACTCATCAACATAATCTAATAGTGGTGCTAACAAATCCGGATTATCTATAGAATTAAAACAATTTTAAAATCAATATAAATAAGAATGTATATAATACCTTGCCACGCTACATAATGAAGTATAGTGCATAGATATTCATCAGATGGTACATAAGACTTGCATAAATTACGAATTTCTATGCTACTTAAATCTTTAATAACTGTTCTTAATTCGCTAGCATCTTGATTTTCAATAGCTTTAACCATTAATTGAAGTTTACTTAAACCGAAACCCATTTTCTTGGTTTTTTTTCGAATATAGAAGCAAGTTAACTGCTTGTTTATATTCAATTACTTCACTTTTGTATTCTATATCACGTATTTATACCAATATTTCTTTAGAATGATTCGACTATGACAAGGAAAAAAAGCGCAAAAAAAATTGCGATCTATACATACCTAATTTGGTTACAAAAAAGAAAACAGACCAATGAGCATGATCAAAAAACTACACCTGAATGTTTCATTTGTACATTATGTACGCTCATTTACTTTCATACTTTAACACGCAAATCACTGATGCGCGTCATAACTTTTCTTTCTCTCTCTCTCTCTCCCTCACCTTCATTCGTTTATTTGCTATCAAAAGAAATCAATGACGACATTGAGACTGTCGCGCATTTATTTATATATCACACAAATTCAAGTGAAAAAAATATTGTTCCAGTAATTAAAAAAAAAACGAAAAAACTATTGATTGATAGGAAAACGATTGTCACTTGCTACCGTCATATGACGAAATAGCAGAAAGCAAATTTGATAAAATATCTAGACGATCCTACAATCAAAAGAAAGCTGTGTGACAATTTCAATGTCATAATAAAAACAAGACAGACTTGAATCAATGCATTGACTTGATTCTTTTTTCTATAAGCATCAATTTCGGATTGTTCAATTTTTAAATTACTAGCAATTGATTGAAATGTTTTTAAATCAGAACGACAACGTTCACCATGTGATTGTAAATCACGAAGTAACTGTTCACATCGATCTCGTGATTGTTGACTCTAATATGTTAGTTGCGAATAAAAAAAAAACAAAATACACTATTCTTATTGATTAGAAATAATTCTTACTTGTTTTAAATTTTCAAAATCACGACAAACAAGTTCAATTACATCATTAATTACTTTAACATCTTTTTCAACACTTAATAAACGTCTAAAATGTTCATCTTCTATACCAGTCAACTAAAAAATATTTTTTTTTTATTTTAGAAAAAAAGAAAAATACATCGAGGTTTTTTTGTTTAGCAAACTTTTTCTCCAACTAAAATAATACGATTTCCATTAAATAAACCAAAATTTTCTAATGGTTCATCAGGTGTCATATGTAAACGTTGTCCTAAAAAAAGCAAGGAAAAGGAAGAAGTAATCATTTCAAACAGATATTAAGTTATCAATTAGAAAATCTTACCACGATAAAGTAATTGTTGATTCATCATTGTAACTCGAGCTTTTTTTTCAACTTCTTCCATAAGATCTCTAACCAAAGGTGAATGTTCCATATGAAGATGAATATCATATCGATCAGAACCTATATGAAAATATATATAATTGAGTTCCAAGAAGAAAATATCTTTTTGTTACCATGTGCAACTTCAAGATGTACAATATAAAAACGACTTTTAATGTCTGTATTTGTCATGTTTTATAAATGTTTAACAATGAAAATGATACAATTAAACGTTACTGTGGTATCTTTAACCATTTTTACTTAAGTTTCTATGGAAAAGAAAACAATTGAAAAGTTCAATGAAAAGAGATGACGCTATTTGACAGTAAATATCAAAAATTAAATATTTATATATTGTTTTTTTCTCTTTTATGAACTAATTTATTTTTAATGTCTGAACTCATATGACAAAGAATATGATAGAGAAAGGAAAAGAATTCTTTTATTTTTTTTTCTTTTTAAAAAAAAAAGAGAACTAGCTAATGTTGATAGTTGAATTGTTATTTTAAATATCTTGTTTGGTTTCTATTGATAGTTTTGAATTACTTTTTTATTACTTTTTCTGTTTGTTTAATCTGTAATTTTTGCAGTATTTATTTGTATTTGCTCTTTTTTTTCTTACATTATAGAATCACCGAAGGATTAAAGAATTATACGAATTTGTTTTTAGCATCATTTGTATTCTCACAATCAATCTCGATGTACATATGGCACAGGTAAGACGACAGTCTCTTAATCCATCAGCAGCACCTGGAAAGATTCCTGCAGTACCTGGTGCAGTACGTTTTCGAACACCAATATCAAGAAGTACCCGACGGACACAAAGCTTTCATGTCAATGGTCAACCTTCACATCCCGAATCACTGATTCGAGCAATGCATTCAAAACAAATTGTCAATCAGTCACCAGCTCGTTTTGCTCAAACAACATCACACATTGGTGGACTCCATAATTCAAATAATCCAAAATATGATCCATTAACTGGCTTAACTATTAATGCTACTACTATTAGTAATGAAAATCATGAAAAATCATATATTATCAGTTCATCATTCAGTTCATTAATTCCTCATGAACAAAATCTACCTCCGATAGCACCACCACCGTCAGCAGAAAACTTTTATCTAATGCAACAACAACAACAACTGAGATTAAATAATAATGACGTCTGTGTAATTTGATATATATATAAATAATAGCATTTAAATATTTTCTATTAGACAGAAGAATCCGTTGTCATACCAACACTAACTGATGATGATGGCCTTCCAGTTGTGTCTATTGATAATGATCGTGTGCCTGTCTATGCACGATTTCCGTTTGATGTCAGCGTAAGTGTTTGTCTCATTTAGAATAACACTTTTCAGCATTTTTTTTTTATATAAGAAAAAAAAAAAAGTAAGAAATAAAAGTTTGAGGGTAAAAGAAGAAATTGAAATTTTTCTCTCATTCCTACACTAAAACTGAAGTGGAAAGATCATATTTTAATGGTGACAGCAACAGCAGCGATCGACTATGACGACAACATACAACTACAACCAAAGAAACGACACGTTCTTTAACGTGTCTTTGTTAAGTAGAAGAAGAAAAAATGAAGAATAAAAAAAATTTTGTTTTGTATCCATTACAAACTTGATTTTTTTTTCTTTTTTTTTTTTTCATTTGCATCGATTTAATTTCTCTAGTTTCTACCACGATCAATGGATGCTAATGTTGAAGATAATATTCATAAACTTCGTCTTCGTTTAATTGATTCCGTAAATTATTATTCAGTTAATTTGCATTAATTATTATTTAAAATTTTTCATTTTTAGGAACTTCAACATCAACGTCGTAGTACGGATGATTATATTAAACGAACACGTATGTACTTTTCTCTTATGTGTACATTTAAAAAAAAACACAACAAGAAAAATAATTTATTCTAAAAAACAAAGAAAAAACTTTTTTCAGAAGAACAACTTTCTCTTTCATCTTCTAAATCAACAGAACATTATTTACATGATATTAGTTCATCAAACAATTTAATTTATCAACGAGTTAAACCAAAGATTTTGAGTCAACAAACATCATATTCGCCATTATCTATTGACACTCCGATATTTATTGGTAATTTTTCGAGATTATCTCGAGGTAGTCAAATTTTTATCACGTAGACAAACACGAGTTTTGCTTTGATTGCACACTTGTAAACATACATGCCACCTATCATTGGCAAGAACATTAAATGTATATCTATATATTTAGATCGCATAGGAATGGAAAATAATCCTCAAGATCATTCAGATATTGAACGAGATTTAGAAATACGACGAATACAAGTGAGATAAATGATGATAACAATAAAAAAGAAAAAAAGAAAAATCTCTTATTGAATTAATTATTTCCTTTTTAGGAATCCTTACATGGTGGTCGTCGATCAAATCAACAATTAACGATATCAAATTATTCTTATGATCCTCGGTTACATTTACAACCTTCAAATAGTATATAATGAAAATAACCTATTAAATATATAAGTTTTTTAAATATAGATACAATTGGAGACCGACAATATTCATCTTCTAATATGGATGATTTAATTGATTCAATGGCTAGACGTCATTTAGCTTATCGACGACTTGATGTATGTTATTAAAATTAGAATTTCTTTTCTTTTGATTCTATAGATTGAATCTTTGTTTTTTTGTTTTCAGGCAGCTATTGACCGTCAACGACGGGGCCTGGGAGGTTACAATCCATATTATGGTACAAAAAAAAAAAGAAATTTTAAGCTTCCATGGATATTAAATTTTGTTTTTTAAATATTTTGTAGATTCTTCAATTATTGGACGACAAGCGTCATTTCGTAGTCAACAACAAGATGATGATATATTTTTTACAAATACAGCATCGTCAAGTCGTATCGGACAAGGTTTATTTAATAAATATGAAATTTCAGCTGATGTTTTTCTTTGATTAAAGATTTTATTCGAACAAATCCAAATAGTTTAAATCAAATGGTTCGATCAAAAGTTGATTATTCTAATCGTATTCAACCTGATCCTGATGATGTTTATATCAGATTTCGAAAATTTTTAGTAAATCAAAATGAATAAATTGATTTTTTGTTTTAGTTAAATATGAATAATATGATACGTACAAATTCCTATTCAATATTACCTCCAATATCACCTGGAATTGATTCAAATCGTTTAAGTCGAACACAGTAATTAACTAATTTTTAATCTAAACACAATAATTAATTAATTTTTTGTTTTTGTTTTTCTTACTTTTTAAAGAAATCTATCCAATTCAGCTCTTTATCAAGCTAAACGTAATCCTCAACAATATCGAAATTATCAACAACCTCTACCATTAAATTTACCTGATCACACGGAACATTTAATTGAATTACCAAGTGATATATTTCTTTCATCAAGAACAGGTGATCATTTAAAATTGCACGTCGAACCAGCTTAATATTATTGCACCTATATATTCACTATTTCATAATAAAAATAAACCCTTTAATAAAATAAACCCTTTTGTCTGCTGCATTAATTATTTGTGTTGTGTGCTTTGTTTTTGCTTTTTTTTTTTAAATCTAAATATATGTGTGTGCGCGAATTTAACTGTAGAATTAATTGGCTCATCTCAACATCATGATCAAACTCGAACAAGTAAACCAGGATCTGTCTCAAAAGATAGTATGTTACATAGAATTAGTATTAATTGTTATTAATAGTATTTTTTTTTTCTTTTGTTCATATGATTAGAATCTGATGTATCTATAGATTCTGAAATAGATCAATCAGATGGTGAAAATAATCCATATATTATTAATCATCAACATAGTCAAAATAAACAAAAATCAGGAAAAAAATCAGAAAATGGTAAATAAAACTAAAATTTGATTATTGTTATTTTTTTCTTCTATAATAATTATTCAAACAACTAATAGATTCATTTAAAAAATTAGCAAATCAAAGAATTCTTTTATTTGGCTCTATTAGAGCAGAATCGAGAATATGACATTGATTAACGTTCTAAATTTCGTTTTGCTTTATCGAACCAGAAAAATGTTAATATAATCATATTTTATTTATATCATAGGTCATTATGGTTTTTTTACTGAAGGAAATCCTCCGCAACAACAACAAAAATCAAAACAAAATAATAAATTTCATCCACGATTATTATTTCAAAAAGCAGCTATTGGCATTTTGTTTATAAATATTATCAAACATGATGCTGCTAAAAATCGATTAGTAAGTATAAAAATGACAAGAACAATAAAATAAATTTCTAATCTATGTAAAGAATCGTCGAAGTCAAACATTAAGTGCAACAATACATAAAATTCGTATACAAGAAATAATGGTTGCATTACATCGTGTTTATCTTGAACCTGATGGACCAATTTATAATGCACTTATTCAAGCTATAACTAATTCAATTGAATTAAAACATGCATTAGATAAATCATCAAAATATTATTCTGAAGCAATTAATATTATTGGTCAAGCAGTAAATAATGTTATTTCAAAAATTGTTGATTTTATGGTAAAAAAAAGAATCAATTTAATAAATCAATTTAAAAAAAAACGATTTTTTTTTTCATTTTTTTGTTTTAGCCAAAAGATGGTATTTTAGGTACAGCAAAAAATTCAGCTGTATCAGCACTTATTCAAGATGGAAATCCATTTCCTGATAATTATTTTTGGCAATGTGAAAAAGTAAGGTTTATCTTATTTTTTGTTTTATTTTTATAGATTATTTTCTTGAAGAATATTCTTGAATTTCATAAATCAAAAATTATAAATATAACTAAACAACGAGCAATACTTTTACTTATTGGTATTTTTATCTTTCGAGCACTTGTTACAACAGTAAGTTGAATATTTTAATCAACTAAAATTTTCTTTGATTTTTTGTTTTACTTCATTTTTAAGTTACTTATTAAACCAACTAAATATCGATTTATACTTGGTGAATTACCAAAAAATCAATTAGTTAGTCTTAAAGTTCTAGCATCGGTTATTTCTTATATTGGTCGACGAGCAGTTAAATCCAGTTCTCAAATACTTGTATGTAATTAAAAAAAAATGGAAAAAAAAAATTTAATATTTTTTTTATTAATAGACTTTGCCACATGAATGGGAATCTTCATTATATAGTGATACAGATATTGAACCAATTATTCAACATGCGGAAATCAAATCAATTATAACAACATGTGAAGTAAGTTATTTATTTCACTTCCTTAACACATAAATATAAATATATATATTTATATATATCAATAATCTTTTATTTAATTAAGCAATCATTACGTGATTGGTGTGAAGACTATATTCGTCGTATTGATGCAAGTTTTGGTAAAGAATTACGAACATGAATATGATCATTGACTTATTCCCTAATGTCAAAGTTGCTTTTTTTTCGCTATTCACAATTTGTTTGATTGTTTCTTTTCTTTTTTTTTTTTTTGCTATATATAAATGAATTCCCAGACAGGTTCTACTGTCAAGGTTATCATCATCTTTTTCTTTTGGCTTGTCGATGAAATTCTTAAGGGAAATCGTGTCTTCATATAATTTGTTTTCTTCTCTTATTTATCAGCTACTATGAGTATTCTTCATCGTTATCTAATTGTTCCATGCATACGCTAAAAGTTAATTAAATTTAGCATCCATTCTCTGATGATTAGTCGATCGATCGAACAAGTTTCTTATATATATATATATATATATATATAAATATATTTAGTTTGTTTTTCATTATAAATTCTTTCGTTTATTTCTTATGACTGCTCTCCGAACAAATGTGGTATGAAATGAAAACAAGTGAGAAGACAAAAAAAAAAGAACGAGGAAAAAAAGAAGAAGAATTCAATCACAATTTGGCAACAATATAAAATAGGAACTCGATAGAGAAAGAAAGAAAGAATTAAGACTACATTCAACTGTACAGGACGGCATTCACGTTTTTTATATATGTGCGTATGTCTATTGTAAGCATTCATAAGAGGGATTATGATTTTGATTGAGAATATTTTCTTAATAAATTATTTTTTAATTAAGTAACATCAGTAAGAATTGTACGTGATGATTGTACACGAGATGATAAATGTTGATCTAGTTTTTGATTATCACCTTGTGTATCGATTGTACTTGTACTATTGTTTATTGGTGATGTATTAACACTTCCACTTTTCATTTCTATTTCCTCTGTAAAATACATGAAAGAAAAATAACTATTTAAAATTTAATAAATATAAATATAAAAAACAAACAAATATAAAATAAAACAGCAACAACAACAAGCAAATATCACAACAAAAATATAATAAATGTTGTGTAAAAAAAAAATTAAATATTAAATCTACCATGCAACATATTGGAAACAAATAGGGAGTAGGCAAAAAAAGGGGGAATCATTAGGATATAATTGGTTATTTTACTATATAAACTTACAAAATTTTTATTACAATCATCACAATGCATGGTCATCTAAAGAGATGTAGTAATTTATTAATTTTATTTCTTTTATAATTTCCTCATTTTTTCCCCCTTTTGCTTGTCATGAAAAGAAAAATCATATAGGTCACATAAAAATATACAACGTGCATGTAAAAAAAAATATATAATTTATCATATAAGTGCGTGATGTGAAAATTATAATTCTATTTTGATCGGCATGAGCAGCAAAAAAATATCGTACCTAGTTTTTAAAAATATTTGAAAATCCTATGAATTTCTTTCTTTTAAACTTTGGTCACATGAGAATGATGACTACTAATCTTTGGACTAGGTTGAATCATTGGTATACGTTCTTCATCGTCATGTCCTATGTGAATGAATGAAATATCGACTGGAATTTATGTAATATAAATATTACTAGGAATAATAAGAATTAGAATAAGACACATTGTCATAGTCTTTAGGTTTGATTGCTCGAATAGAAAGAAAATAAATTTCGATGTATGCACGAACAAACAAATGATATAAACATTGGTATCGATGACTCACAAAGAAGTATAGAAACATACGCAAAGAAAGAATATTTCTTCATGATGCTTTTTTTCCTAAGCAGAAATATAGCAACGCCATAGACAAAAAGAAGTATTAGAAAATACTTTTTACTATAAACATAGACAGATGTGTATGAATATATAGATATGTATATATATCTGATGTGAATTACTCTCCGTATAACAATAAATAAGGCACAAAGATAAAATAAAAAAATATATAAGAGCGTAAGGTTCGACAGAAGGAAATAAAGAAAAAAAGAAGTTTAATGGATCAGATGAAATGAATGAGAATAGGAAAACAGAAAAGAAAAGAATGATTGAAGCATGTATATAGTTTATATACCTTCGAGAAATGCTTGAAAATTTTCGGTAACTAAATAAAAAAGTTTAATGACATAAAAGAATTTCAATAATACTTATTTCTCAAAAAAAATTCTCAATATACACAAATATTTTATTACATTTTATGTAAGAAAATCTAATTTTTATTTTTTATTTTTTGATCTTTTTTTAAGAGAGATGTATCTTTATATATAAGGCATAGTGATTATCTTACCAATTCGATTGTGAATAATATTGTTTTCAGTCATGCCAAGTTTGGCAGCCATGCCACCACCACCTTGTTTAATAAGATTTTTTCGTGGTCCACCACCAGGTGGTGCACCTTGGGTATTCATTGTTCCATCTGTTTTTCCAATATCCATACCGAATTTATTCAATGCTCTACTACCACCACCACCACCGGCACCTCCTCCACCTCCAACACCTCCACCACCATGAACAGTTCCTCTTGGTGGTCTAACCGGTTCCACAGCCATAACTCTTCGTCGTTTCTTCGGTAATTTTGAACGTGCTTGTGTATGTGAATAATACATAGCAAAATTAGCAACAATAACAGGAACTGGTAATGCAATTGTTAATACACCTGTTAATGCACATAAACCACCAACCATCATTCCAACATATGTTTTAGGTACCATATCACCATAACCAACTGTTGTCATTGTTACAATAGACCACCAAAGTCCAATCGGTATAGATGTAAAATCATTATCTGGATTTTTTTGTAAACGTTCAGCATAATAAATTAATGAAGCAAATATGACAATGAATAAGACAAGAAAAAATATAAGTAACATTAATTCACGCATTGATGCTGTAAATGTATGTATAAGAATTTTTAATCCACCATAATGACGTGTTAATTTAAATAAACGAAATATACGTGTAATAGAAAAAAATTCAAATAAATCTGTATTTGTTAATGATGCTGGTAAGACTTTATTAAATAATATATCTAAATAAAATGATAATGTTGCAAGAAAATCAATAATGTTCACAGGTGATCTAATAAAACCAAATTTTTTTGGTGATACTATAAAACGTGTTATAATTTCAAATGTAAACCAAACTAAATTAAAAAAAATACCACAATGTTTATTTTCTAAAAAGAAAATTATTTTCAATTTACCATTGCATGCTATTTCAATATATTGAAATGCTTCATGAGCTTCCGTTCGTTCTTTATATAATGTATACGTAGGTGCTGTTAAATTTGTATAATTATTTTCAATTAATGCTATTGTTGGTACACGCATTGTTGGATGAGTTTTTAAACAAAATGATATAATTGAAACAAGTATAAAAAAGATTGAAACAACTTGTATTGCCTAATATAAAAATTATTAATTCAGAATAATACAAAAGAACAAAAAAATAAAACTCATACTTTAGCTGCACTACTAGAATAAGGTTCTTCAAATAATTGCCATATACGTGGTTGTACACGTTTAAACCATGGTAATGTTTTCATATATTCTTGTACACTCATATTTTTATGACGAATTGTTGGATCGAAATCCCAACCAAATTTATGTGGAATTTCTTCCTCTGTTATGGGTTCATCATCGAGATCTAAACGATCAAGACCAACAAGGACATCTTGTGTATCTCTAAAATAATAAAATAAAATAAAACAATATCTATATATATATAATTCGTAATTATATACCGATGAGTTGTATATGTCATCCAACAACAAGGTTCAACTTGATTAGCATCAAGGCCCCAATATTCAAGTTCAGTTTCGAATAATGGACCACAAACATCAGTTGGATAATGTAATTTACCTGTACGGTAATAATTTAATATTTGTGCAAATACACCTGGATGTCGATCGAAATAAAATTCATTAAGGACAGAATCATAATTTGATAGAGCTTCAGTAAGACGGGAAAGACGTGTAGCTGGTATTTTCTTTAATGTTGCTTTGTCTTTAGAAAAAAAAAAAAATAACAGGAAAAACAAATTTACTAAATTAGAAAAAACACGATCAATCAATAAATACATACATGTCTCATGACGAATACCACCCACATTTAGAATAACCCGATTATCAGCATCGGCCATACGATATATATCGACAACTGTCAAGAAGGTTCCAAAATTTGTTTGAACAAAAAGAACATCGATGATGATGACGATGATGCTCTTGTTTATAATTTGAACCGTCAGATCTAGACGTAGCAAGAACGAGTTTATATCTTCATACATATAACTGACGTGTGGCCTGACATGCAAAGCACCGGTCAACAGCAACAGCACAATCTAAAAATAAGTTTCTTTCATTAATGTCAAATTCAAGTACATATAAGTATGCATATATATATATATAAATAAGAACTACATCATCAGCCTAGAAGTTGCTTGTAAAAAAAAAACGAAGAAGAAAAAGAAGTGATTGATGTAGCGATCGGGTGTATGTTGCTCGTAGAAATGAAGAGGAAGTCAAGAGGAATAAAGCAAGATGGAAAGATAGACAAATCAGCTATATGTGAGACAAGTAAATTGCGTTGGGAATGCGATCAAGTCGTGTGCATACGAGTGTTTTGCCAGAACAAATTTTTATGTCGCCGAGCCCTCGCCAGCATGAATGAAGATGATCGAGTGATATGGCAACTGAAGAAGGAAAGAAAAAAAAGATGAGTATTGCTAGAAGATGTATGCATTTTCATATAAAAAGAAAAAGAAAATGCGTTGTCTTTCTTCTATGAGTTGTAATGAAAAAAAAAGTATACCGATACAAACTAAATATAAAAATAAATAAATATATATATTATTCTTACATGTTTTTCATGGTATTTGATTTCTTGACGTATATGCACTTGATTGATTGTGAGAAAAAGAAAAACTCGAAGAAATTGATTAAAAATAAAAATATTAGAAAATATTTTCCAATCTTTTTCAACTCATTTATGTCACGTATTTAAAACAAATGTCAACAGCATTAGAGAGATAACTAAGAAAGCAAGCATAAAGAAGATAAAATCAAAGAATGTTGATTCCTAAATGGAAAAGAAGATAAAAAAAACCGTATTGACAATTAGATAAGACAAATCTTCATTTCGAAAAATATGTTTCTTTGATATTATCTTCTCTTAAGGCTAAATGTCGTAACAAATGGTCGTTACAAATATAGAAATAGCACGACTTAATTGAATTTATTCTTCAGGTTTTTTTTCTTGCCTATTACCGGTGTATTATTGTGAGCCTCGATGTACACACTTATTTACGATGACAGTCAAATTAAAAAACAATCTAACATATGGTCGCCTTGTGGATAGGAATCCGATCATTATTCTTTGTTACATATTCACATAAGAAAGATAGAGAAAAAGACATACAAAGATAAATTGTCAAACGAAGACAGGTTCAAATCAATAATCTTTTTTTCTATTTTTGTTATTCATATCAAGTGTATAGTTTTCTTGAGTTCTATCTTTAAATGAATAGTAATAAAAAAAAGTGAATAGTTCGACGTTATTTTACTTAGTAAAGAAAAAAGATATACGCTTACATATATTATTTCTCTGTTTGCTGTAACTTTACCTTGACAATCTAATTATAATCTTTGCTAGAAGACACAGACTCTCGTGTCTGCGTGTTCAATCTAACGAAGTAGAATTGATCATGAAAAATACGAAGAGAAGAGCAAGGAAAATAGTGGAGAAAAGAAGCGGCAAAAAACAGAACAACGAAAATAAAAGAGATTAAATCGTTGACGCGTATACTGTAACTGGAGAAGTTTGCTTTAGTCTTTTCCGTTAGTATATTCTAACATACACATCTATAATAACGAGAAGGAAAAGAGGAAACATTTATGTCATTGAAAGATGCACAACGCCAAAGGAAGAACTCAACGAAGAAATAGAAAAGAAATTTTGAAAAGGAAGAAAACTGCTTTCCATATAATCAGGTGGAAAACACAGATTCTTTATCTTATCAATTGATGCTTAATATAGAAGATAAAGGAAAAAAAAACGTGTGGAAAAGCACTATGTCAATTTAAAAAGTTTACATGCATAGAATAGCAAGCAAAAAATGTGAATAAAAAACGGAAGAACATCATTACATCTTCATGATTATCACAATTCTAAAAGAAAACTGAATAACAATAGCACAGGATGAACATATATATGTCAAAGAAAGAAAAAAATATAATTTTCAAAAGAAAATATCTAAAAAAACAATGAAGAACAAGAAGAAGAAAACCATGAATGACAGGAAGACCGGTAAACGTCTATCATCATTTCAACCAACAACTAATCCGTAAAATATATAGATGAAAAATTTTTAGTTATGCGTATGCAAGATGATGACTAGAAATGGCAAATAACAGGACGATTAATGTCAAACGATGATGCCTGATAGCATCTCGTCGTGCTTGACATGCACTTTAATAGATGTTGATAGACGGAAAAACTGTATGTATATTAGGGATGTTGATAGCAACAGAAAATACAAAAAAAAAAAAACATCATCAAGAGAAATCTTGTACAGATCTAATAATATTATGGCAAGAGAAAGACAAGAAGAAAAAGAAATATATATCTATATATATACATATATTGAGACGATCGTTTGAGAATAATATTAACAGTTAGACATATGCAATATTCATTCGTTGACATCATATTAAATAAGACGACAAGATAATAATAAGAATGATTCAGTACAAAACATCTCTTTGTATACATGTACAGCATGTCTATCTTACTCACTTTGAGTGTTTGCGATTGTCTAATATTACGTGAGAATTTTCCCTATTTTTATTCACCCTTCTGTAAATCATTATTAGTTTGGGATGATGACTATGTATATGTGAAGCAACTCGGACAACAACGACAATCATAAAAAAAGAAGACGAAGGAGAAAAAGAAGAAGAGTATTTCATTAAGATTGCAATTGCTTTTTTTTCTTCACTCGGTACTACTGCTGTTAATACTACATCTACTACTGCTGTTGTTAGCATTATCTTCTCTCTCAACTTCAGTATTCATCCTCTCAAACACATGTTTCACTTATCTAAATCTAATGCAAGCAATAGAACTATATAGTAATGACTACGATGAGAAGAGCAATGGAAAAGAATTCTTTTTTTTGCTTCTCATTCTATTTTACTTGCTTTTTTTCTACTTTCTCTCTCTCTCTCACTCTTTTTTCCTTTTCATTTTTCCCTTTTTTCTCATTCCCTTGTTCTGCTATGAACGGTCGCAAATTGTAACAAACAAAAAAAAAGAATAGCGCATGACAGAGCAGAGCAGAGTGTTGAGAGAGAGTCATTTTGAAGGAGAGGCAAAAGATGAAGTTTCCTTTGTTCATCAATAAAAAACGCTTTTTTCGCTGTTTTCTCTCCTAGTCTTCTTCTTCTATTCTTGCATACTGCTACAGCCGCCTCCGCGCCTTTAACATTGCCTTGGTCGCGAGCAAGTAATAGAAGAAAGAGTGCAATAAAGCGTCTAAGCTGTTTCCCGTGTTGTTTAAAAGATCGATTTCGCTTTTATTTTCTCGCTTTTCTAATTTTTCCTCTCTCTCTCTCTCCTCTGCAAGTCTGCTTTTCTTACTTGGCAGTAGTTCAACTTGCTAAACGACTATCATAAAACAATGTGCAACATATGTGCATCAGTTTTTTGTGTTAATATCAACTAGAAAGCTTCGGTATTCATAATTCAAATTAACATTGTTACATTAATGATTTTTTTTTGACAAGCATAGATTTATGCCTTTACAGATATAGAAATATGAAAAATAACGAAACTTGTATTAACACTAAATCATTAAGGAAAATATTGATAACATTTGACAGAAAAATTAATCAAATTTAGACTTTTAACGATGACGAAGATACTCTTCTGCTTATATTCAAAGTTTATTATAATCGAGAGTACCTAGCATTTTTGTCATCATTTTGTACAATTGAATCAATGCCAAAAAATAAAATTTTAGAACCAATGAATATATACAATATTGCATTACAATTGTGCAATTTTTGCCACGTATACCATGACAGGATGGCACAACAAATAAAAAAAAGGAGAACACGTTGGTTAATAGGGTATTTTGAAGTGTAAAGAACAAAAAATCGTGTTGTTCATATATATATATATAAGCAAAATTTTTTTCTTCAGTTGATCGACAACATCAAAACAAAAGATTACACATAATATTTTATATACAATATGGTTTATCATTGAAAAAACTGTCATCTTATTTTTCTCAGCACAATGAGGTATGTATACTCATCTTTGGTCTTGATGCTGCTGGAAAAAGAACTATGCTTTATATATCAAAACTTGCCGAAGTCATAACAACAATACCAACAATTGGTCTCAATATTGAAACAGTAATATATAAAAATATAAATATCACAGCTTGGGATGTTGATGGACGCAATAAACTTCGACCGTTATAGCTTCATTATTATGAAAAGGCATCAGCAGTTGTTTTTGTTGTCGATTCAAATGATCGTGATAGAATCGACGAAGCATGTAACGAATTACATGAGATGACAAATGAAGAATTATTAAAAAATTTACCTATTCTCATATTTGCTAATAAACAAGATTTACCAAATGCTTTAACATTTGATGAAATCAAAGAAAAACTAAACTTACCAAATTAGATGAAATGAAATCAAAATGGTATTTACAACCTTCAATAGCTATTGTAGGTGAAAGTATTCATGAAGGTTTTGAATAGTTAGCAACTACAATACAATCAAAAAAAAATGATCTTACACAACCAATTATGGAAACAATAAATGATTCGAAAACAATCAAAGATGATCTTTTATCTTTATGGAATTCAATTAATTTTAACAAATTATTAAATAAATATATTTAATATTTTTTTATCTATAAATTTTTTCTTTTATATGTCAAACTATTCTATATATTGATTTATTAAAAGTAATCTTTTGTTGTTCTAAGATACTAATAAAAACAAATACAATGCATATATATATATATTGACTTGTCCGAGCGTAATGTGGTGACGTTTTGACCACAGTACTATTAACTTTTTTTACCGGTTAGGTTATCTAAGATATCCAACGGAAAAGAAGATCTTCAAACAAGATTCTTATTTTGATGAGAGATCAGTTTAATCAACGTAATGCGATGATGTTAACTTTTGTAATTATTTTTTTTCTAAGCTTACTTTTTCTGTATGCATCGTTGTGTAAAGACAACGTAATTTTTTTTTTCTTAAAAATCACAATAAAAGGTATTAAATTTTATATCTACTAATCATTTCAGTATAGAATGATAAGAAAAAAAACAATAGATTTATTAATATGCCTAACAATGTGTAAGTAACTGATGATGTATAATGCATGACCGATATTTGCATTTATTCTCTCTATCTCATTGCTAATGCTTTATTCAAAACTAAATACATTCCAGAATAGAGTGAAGCAAGCTCTATCTTTCTGGCATTAATACAGTTATTTCATATACATGTATTTGTGTTGTGACTAAGCAAAAATTGAGTAAAAAATTTCCGACATCATAAAACAGAGCATTTTTTTTATATATAATATTACAGCTTTGCTTTACTAGTGGAAAAACCATACACTTTTACAGCATGCCGTTGCTTACTGTTATCATTGTTACCTCAACTGGAATAATTTACAGTATTGAAATGAAGAGTTCTTAGCAGTCATCACCAATTATCGAAGCAATATACTAAGTTCTCTGTTCATTACGTCAATATGTTTTGACAACTTTGCCTCATATTTTATTTCTCGATGCTCATCTGTTACGCCTTAATTGTCCGTCTTCTAGATATATAAGTTCTAAAGATTTAATACCCTTTCCAATGAGAAATAAGTATTGCGGCACGATCAACAAGTCAACAAAACGATAGATAATGAGCTCAGCTGCCAAAACGAATTCAACACGTCACATACACAAAGAAGTCATCAATATTGTGTACAGAGAAATCGATGTATTTTTCTAATCAAAATGCAAAAGAAGTTTCAAAGTAAAAATTCAATTTAAAATTTTTTAAAATAATAAAAAACTGCATAGAAATATTTATTAATGCTTGAAAACATTAACTTCATCGGCCGATAACATTCACTATATATTCACTAACATTTACATACAGATGTAATTCATTTATTGACAAATAATTCGAGATATGTTCTTGTGATTGTACTTCAAAAACATCTTACAAGTGAAAATACAAGCATTGCCAATCAGAAAAATTTATCTGCTTTTGAAGCTTTTTAGAATTTTGACTCTAGAATGGCAAATTCTTAAAGTTTTATGAAAAAAATTTGTTTTGCTGTAAAGCGTCGTAATAGTATTGTTCTTCTCGGGAATCTAAAAAATCAAAAAAATACTCTATTCAAATGATGAAACGTCAGTTTTTCGTGTTTTTGATATAAAATTCATCAAAATCATCCAATTTTTATCATTTTTTATTTCATAGGTTCCAGAGTGAAGAAGGCATAAATATATTGGAGTTCGTTGAACACAGGAAGGACGTACCATTTTTAATCATAACTGTGATGCTATACTTGAGGAGGAAATACTCGTATTTTCACTGTTAAGATATTTTTGAAGTAAAATTCATAACAACATATCTTATATTTTTTGTTCATCAATGAACTGCATCTGTATGCAAGTGTTAATGAATATACAGTGAATGTTATCGACTAGTAAAGTTAATGTTTTTAAGCATTAATGAATGTTTCTATGCAGTTTATTTTTTATTTTAAAATCTTTTAAAATGGATTTTTACTTAGAAATTATTGCGTCTTTCTGTGGGTATTAGCGAAGACAAGTCAGTGTAATGACGTGGTGCATAAGACAGATTTTAGGTATTATGAGGGGTAGGGATCACTTTATGGTCTTTGCTGACAATATATTTTTTCTAGGATTCGTACAAAATGGATATTAGTGAGCATAACTCGTCAGGGTGTAGGTGTTAGTGATATTATCATAAATGAGGATAATCCTATCTTTGTCATCATTCTGTATAAACTAATCAATGTCAAAAAAATTTCAAAATTAATAAATATGTACAATATTACATTACGACTGTACAATATTTGCCATGTATATCATGACAGCATAGTACCACAAATAAAGAAAATAGAATGTATTGTTTGATGACGTATTATGGAGTGTTGAAAAAGAAAAATATTATATATATATATAAGCAAACTTTTTCTTTAGTTCACTGATAATACCAAAACATAATAAAGTAAAAAATTATATATAATATTTAATATACAATAGAAGCTCATCAATACAAAAATTTTCATCCTATTCTTTTAAACAAGAGGAAGTATGCATACACATGTGTGGCCTTTATGCAGCTGGAAAGACAACTATACTTAATATATCAAACTCGATGAATACAGAACAACAATACTAACAATCAGCTTTAATGCTGAAACAGTAATATATAAAAATGTAATTACAATAATTTAAACATATTGGTGGACATGATAAAATTCGACCGTCATGATGTTGTTACTGTGCAAAGATGTCAGCAGTTATTTTTGTTGTCGATTCAAATGGTCGTAATAGAATCGACGAAGCATGTGACGAATTACATCTAATGACAAATTATGAGCTACTGAAAAAGTTACCTATTCTCATATTTGCTAATAAACAAGATTTACCAAATGCTTTAACATTTGATGAAATCAAAGAAAAACTAAACTTACCAAAATTAGATGAAATGAAATCAAAATGGTATTTACAACCTTTAATAGCTATTGTAGGTGAAAGTATTCATGAAGGTTTTGAATAGTTAGCAACCACAATACAATCAAAAAAAAAAAGATCTTACACAACTGATTATTAAAATAATAAATGATTCAAAAATAATCAAAGATGATCTTTTATCTTTACGGAATTCAATTCATTGAAAAATATTATTAAGCAATTTTATTTAATATTTTCTTTCTATAAATTTTTTCTTTTATATGTCAAACTATTCAAAAGTTGATATGTTAATAAATGTTTGTATTATTAGAAGTAAGCTTTTGTTGATCTAGAATACAAATAAAAACAAAAGCACAATATTATATAGATATATGTATTATAGACAAACCTTTCATAAAATTTATGAACTTGTGGAATACCATCATGAGGTGGAAAACGTGCATGAATTCTTTCTTCACCATTTGGTGGAACAAATACTTCCATTCTCTATTAAAGAAAAACAAGCACATATTGATAACATTTGATTTGATTTGATTTGAAGAAATATACTTGTGTTTCATAAGGTTTTGGTTGTTGATCTTCAATTTGTACCGGTATTTGTCTTTTACCAGTTGTTGATTTATTACTTAGAATATAATTTTCATTATTAATTTGTTTACTTTGTTGATAACGACGCCATTGCAGACATAAAATAATAATAGAAATAATCGATGAAACGAAAATAACAATGCATAAGACAAGTAATCCAATCCAAGGATCGTCAATAGATTTATGCACTGGTACATGAAATGAAGTCGGTTGTATGTAATTCATTCTTTCGATTAAAAAAAATCAATAAAATAATACGAATTTAAACTGTAAATAAATATATTCAGATCAATATCTATATGAATTACATTATTCTTACCTGTATTGCCACACAAAAAATTTTGTCAAGGATTTTCCTTTGCAATTGTCAAATGAATATATAAATCAAAAACGAACTTTATATTTTACACATTTCCTTTTCTTTTTTATTCTTCATGTACATAATTCAATCACCAACAGTGAATGACATACAAAGTTAGTTAATCCCTATCTAGTCTGTGTGTGTGTGTGTATATATAAACTTGTGTGGGTATAACCAAGGAGCAAGAGCAAGGTAAATAGATTTGTAATGCAACAGATTGATTTATGCATTTTTTTTTCTTCATAAAACAAATTATCTTCTCTGTTATAATATTTATTAATTAATAGAAAGAAAAAACGACAATGTTTCAAAAAAATAAAAAATAAAAAAATAAATTTCAATTTTTGTTTTATATCTTCTTAAGTCTGTCAGCTAATTGATTATAAATAAATGCTGATGATGTTACTGATGATTGTACTTGTGCATAATTTAAATTTGTCATTTGTTTTGCTTTTAATTGAATTCCTTCGGATGCATTCATATCAACAGCAAATTGTTCTGATGACATTTTATGTCTTGCATCACGTGTTTCTGAACGTTGCAAATAAAAATGTGATATCATATGTATAACATTGCCTTTACCACAATCAAACGTAATAAGTACAGCATATGAATTATATTTTTGATTTAATTGATTTGATTTAATTAAAACACGTACACGTTGTTGATCAATTATTTCAATTGGATATGATGATGATTCAAGCCACCATTGTGGATCAACATGTTTTGCAGCTGGTAAAAATCCAGCTACAATTGGATTTGTTGGATCATTGACTTGTACTCCAATAACTTCATCACCAGTCGTTTGACCATTATGTCGAACAAACTATGATGTAGGAAGTAACAAAAAAATATATAGTATATACGTAAAGGTAAATAATTAACTTACTTCACCAAATGCAACTTCAAGAACATTTTTTAAAGCCCAATCTGTCGTAATTAATTGACCACCATCCTCAACAAATTTACGTAAACGATGAGCAGCATTAGGCGGAAATGAAGTAGCACAATTAACATAAACTGTTTGATCTTTTGGACGCAATGGATAAGTTAATAATTCATCTTGTTGTACAGTTTTAAATGGAATTTTTAAACTTGTCAATACTTGATGTATATGATCATATGTGCCAGGTACAACAATTACTGTATCATGTTGCATTTGATCAAGAAGTTTTTTATCTTCAGCTGATAATTGTTCACGAGCCATGGCCGAACCAAGTTCATATGCATCAGCCATATCGCCGTTAGAAGCAACATTTTGTTGATTTGTATATGAGTATGCCATATTTTGTCAATATATCACAAATTGTAGTATAAATGGTTTTGACTGAGACTTAAAACGTTATTGACATACATATATATATATATATATATCTTCATAAAAACAATGATTCATTCAGCGTCATGCTGTATATAGAACACGTTTCATCAGTTACATGTTAAAGATATTTTAGCGTCATTTTTTTCTTTCTGTTTTTATGTGAAATTCAGTAAAAAAAATAATATTCATTCAAAATAGATGTTGCATTGTATTGTGAAATTACTAAACAGGAAAGATAAACTTCCTGTCACATATGTTTCATTTGAAGTATGAGAATCAAATATACAATAACATATAGGGTTGTCAGATTATTTTTATTCTTTTATCTAAAAAGAATAATGTAAAATTTAACAATTTTTTTCATGCATATTTGTAATCTATATTTAATGAACAGTATACCGACTACATATTGATTACATCATTTCTTTAATCAAAATACATATGATCCAATAATGACCAAAACCAAAGATAAAAACTATAAATTCTCAATTAAAAAAAATGGCATTGGGATTGATGTTTAATATGTCATCATAGCCCTCAAAACTATATATGAGCAAAACTGAGAGAGTAACATTATTAGAAAAATTCTTTGTTTGAATTTGAAATGTAAGTGAACATTTGAATACTATAATAATTATAAGGAACGTAAGACAACAACCCATTGAAATGTCTACTAATATCTATTACAATTGATGCAAGATTTTCAAGTTTTAGAAAAAGCATAACAAATAGTCATCCATAAAATTATTGGCAATAATAAAACTTCATGTCGAAATACTATTAGTGGACGTATGGAAACAAACACTTTTAGATTACTGCTAGTCTTGCCAAGACGTCCTTGTAGACCTAACATGAGTTCAAACGGCGGGTATTAGTTCAGATGGTTCGCTCGTTAATATTGAAACGCAAAACAATTTTTTTTTAAATTTTAAATGTTTTGATGTTTAAAGTATGGTAGTGGGCTGTGGCAAAACATTGATACTGATAAGAAAGATAGACTATTTGTCTTCTTTCTCCGTTTCACTACCATATGTTAAACAGTACAACACCTTTGGACAGAAAAAGAAAATTTAAATAGAAAAGAAATTATATTTCAGTATAAAATCTGAGAATAACAACTTCGTTTTTAGAAACGTCACTAACTGATCCAAAGTTTTATTATGCTATTAATGTTAATAAAACATATAAATTAAGAAATACGAAAGAGTGAAACCTGACTGAATACTAATGAATTAAGTCCTTCCTAATAAATCATACTGATATCATTGTAATTATTGAAGTGCATGATATTTCACTATAATTTTGTAGAATACAAAAATTTTTCTTTAAATCTAAACAAGATGTTCATCACACGAAGCTTTTATCAAACTTTCAATTTATGTTTTTACAAAAAGTTATTTTTTTACTTTCGATGAAAGCAATCAACATATAAGATTATTTCTTGTACATTTTGAAATTCATAGCAATGCAAAAAATTATTCAATTTATAAAAAAAGAAAATCTCGATGAAACTTTTCAATATGAAAAATGTTCACATCGTAAATCTCAATGAGCTTGATCGAAGAAGGCCGATCCATAGGTCATTCATCTAATTATATTGGATTTTTTTTCATTTTTTATAACAGCATATGTTGATGGTTGTTGTTTCAAAAGGAATTTCATCCATTCGGATGTATACTGTTTTGTATGTAATGATGAACCAGCATTGATAGTTGAAAAAACAAGTGTTAATAAAAAAAAATTGATGATTGAAAAAGTTCAATAGGAATAGAATTAGAATTAGGAAAATTATTGATAGATGAGAAGAGATAGGCAAGAATATTTTGTTGAATATAAAGAAATTTCTTTTAAGAGGACAAGAATTTTATCTTTTTCTTTGTTTTACTTTATATTGGTCAGCATTGACATGAGAATTCGATTAAGTTTTGAATTTAAAAACAAAATTATAATAAGAATAAAGCTTTATAAACAAGATAAACTAATTAATTCAGACAAGAATTTGCAAAATAAAGTTATATTACACACCATAAAAAACTTTAATGTTTTCCGGAGATTTTTTTCTTTTACTGTATTATAACAAAATCCGATCCAAAATTAACCAAGAATGAGTATACATCATATACCATCGATTGTAGTATTTAGACTACAAATTCAACTTTCCATTTCAATAGTGTATACAATCTTTTAGTATACTCTAGTATCATAATTATAAAACACACATGTGGTGCAATTCACATTTCTTTTTTAAAAACCAGCCGTATCAACCTCCCTGCTTGTCTGAATAAATGCCTTAAAAAAAACCAATATTTCTCTGTTATTAAGCAAACTTACCTATCACATATAATTATTTGCTGTTCATTTTAGAAATGTTTTAACCAATGGAATAATTATACGAGGACTTTCGAAAAAAAAACAAACTTTAATGGAAACATTTTTCGAAAACTTCACATTTTATTCAAGATTCGACCTATCATAATATCGAATTAACCCGGTCCAGTCTATTGAGACCCCTGGTTCATCTTTCTATTTAAAAGAAAGTATATAAATACAAGATTATTTTCTGAATCTTCTCAATGAGTTTTTGAATGTATTTAGTTTTCAAGAAAAAAAAAGAAGATGAAGAAAGGCATAAACTACATACAAAATAGGGCACAGATCCACATATATATTCAAATTTCTCTTATAAAATAAATTGGATAGAATTAAAAATGTCTTCTATTTCTATTATATATGTATGTCTTTTTCATTTATATTCAACTCCAACAGTTGACGAATTTTTCGGTGGCATTGATCCAATATTAGCCAATAACATTTTCAGTTCTCCAATAGCTTTTCCAGGATTTAAACCCTATTTAAAAAAAAAATAAAAAGAAACTTTGTTTAATTTATTAAGTTATTTATTATACTTTTGGACAAGATTCAGCACAATTCATAATTGTATGACAACGATAAACTGAAAATGAATCACGAAATTGTTCCAGACGTTCTTTTGTATATTCATCACGTGAATCAACAATCCATCTAAGAAACAATTTCAATTAAATTATGTTCCATATACAAAGAAAAATAAAAGATATACTTATAAGCTTGCATAAGAACAGCAGGTCCAAGATATTTATCAGCATTCCACCAATAACTTGGACATGATGTTGAACAACAAGCGCAAAGAATACATTCATACATGCCATCCTAAAATTAATTTTTTTTTAATAAATTTTTCTAATGAACTTTTTGTCGAAAAAAAAAAAATAACTCTACCAATTTTTTACGATCCTCAACACTTTGATAAAGTTGTTTGTCACCAACTGGTGTTGATGTTTTACGTTTTAAAAAAGGTTCTATTGTTTTATATTGCATATAAAAATTTGTAAAATCCTGTACAAAATAAATTAATATATAAGCAAAAAGTAAAGAGAATTCTAAATTATTTAATATAAATATACCGGAACAAGATCTTTGATAACATACATATGTGGAAGTGGATGAATTTTTAATGGTTTATTTGAATCTTCAATTTTGCTAGAAAAATAAAACAAAAACAACTGGATAGAAAACAAAAAAAACAAACAATCAAAACAATTCTTCAAACCAGATACAAGCAAGTGTATTTCGTCCATCAATATTCATTGAGCAACTTCCACAAATACCTTCACGACATGAACGACGAAAAGCTAATGTAGTATCTTGTTCATTTTTTATTTTAATAAGAGCATCAAGAACCATTGGACCACAGCTTAAAAACAAGAAAAAATTTAATTTTCTTTTTTCTTTGTTAGTAAAAACATACTCATTTAAATCTATTTTATAATCTTGTAAATAAGGCTTTTTATCTGGTTCTTCAGGGTTCTAAAAAGATAACAAAAAAAAAATACATCAATAAAATGATTCAATAATAATGAAACAGAATTCTATACCCAGCGATAAATTGAAACAGTTTTTATACGCGATGATGCTTCACGGTTTTTTTCTGGTGCAGTGGTTGTAGATGCTCCAACTGTTGCATTACGTACCTAAATTATTAAAATTATATATTTCATAGGTATTAACTGAATATACATACTTGCGCTAAAAAAAATCGACCTACACCACTAATTGGTGTTGTCGAATTTGTAAGTACACGAAACATCTAGATAAAATAAAAATTTTTGAAGAAATAGTATTGTATTTTGACAATGAGAAAATAAAAGTACACAAAATTTTCGAGTAATAAGTACACACTTCGTATACACAAACTAAAAACCATTCATGCAATCATTTAAAAGATGTCGCTTAATAACACGAGAATAGAATTGTTGTTATACGATAATATAAGAGAAAAAAATATCAAGAATAGTTCATTCGGACTGGAGACTTTAGACAAACAGTTGCTATGATTGAAGTAAAATGGATTTTGTGAAATCTTAAATTTCTTAATTAAAATGATCCGAAAAAAAAAACAAACATTCTTGATATTCACTTATCTCAATTGATAAAGAGACTCTGGTTTCGTATCACAGCAAGTCTAAATTCAGTACTATTGATAGTATACAATTACACTTGTATGATTCATTAATATATTTCGGTGTACACTACTCAATTATTGTTCAATTCTCATACTGTTAGTAGACAACGAGTAATTAATGCTTTATCGTTCGATCCTATTAGTTATTCAAATTGCTATTATTGATGACTAGACATGAGCAAGAACAATAGTTTTTGGTTCCGGTCTCGGCGGAACTAGGACCGGAACCGTCTTGCCCATATCCATTAATCATTGCCGAGAGAACTGTTCCAGGTATCAAATCGTTTTTCGACCGTGATGAAATGAGTTTTTCAATAAAAAGCTGTGGATCCCTTTAAGTCATGTGATAAGTTTCGACTTCAAAATTTGCATGGACAAAGTTCTCAATGATATTAATTGATTGTACAAGTTGTAACTTTTCTAGTATCTCCTGCTCTGAGATATTCAATATTCGAAATTCTGTCATATGTAAAAGCAAATTTTGTTCTCCATAAAAGGAAATATTAGTTTCACAATCTACTAACCTCATCGAGAACTTTATTCGTGCAAAAGTTTGAAGTCACAAGTCGACTTTCCACGTGACTACAGCTTTTTGTTGAACAATTCAGTAAAACATTGATATGTCGAGAACGAAAATCGACACAATACTCTCCAACTGATCACTTCTTTTATTTATATATTTTCTTAAAATATTCTATTAATTAACAAGACTACTAATAGGAAATTAATCGATATATTTTATTGATGATTTATTTTTGCTATAATAAAATAAAATTAGAATATAAATGCTATTTGAACCATGATTTCTTTTTTCTATACAAAAAAATAAAATAATGATTAAGTTTTTGTCACTTGTGAAAGAGTTGGTAGAAAATATTTTGGTGCAAGTTTGAGAGTAAGTAAATATGGTTCAGTATCTTCAAATTCAATATCTTCTGTAAAAATTTGGCGACGAAATGGATCGAGAAAAAGTTTTCTCACTGGATAATTAACACATCGTCCCATACTAAATTCACCTGGTTCAAATCGATGTTCATGTGGAAGATAAATTGCTACAAAAAGAAAATCTATTTTTCCTAAGAAAAAAAAAATCAATTTTATAAATTTTATTACGATTTCGTTTAATTGGTCGATGAAAATCAGTATGTGATTCGCCCAATCGTACAAGTGCTGTTGGTCTATAAATGAAAAACGAAACACAAATCTTTCTCATCAAATATCAAAAAAGTATAAAACTTAAGTTTACTTATTAATTTTTGGTAAAACAAGAATTGTATTATTATCAGGTTTTTCTCTTGGTTGATTACGTTCATTTATTTGTTCTTGAGTTATTTCAACAAAATAATTAATTACTTCAATTGATGATATATTACTTGAAATTATACGTGGTAATGCATCTAATGTTACTGTTAAATTTTTACCATTAACTGATGATCTTGTCTAAAAGAAAAATATAATTAAATTAAATATTGAGATTTAACAAAAAAAAACAAAACAAAAAGAACATACTGATAATGATGTATCACCAGTTAAAGCTCTTGATGTTGCATTACTTATTTGTACATGTATATCACCATTCTTCAATCGAACATGCATTTCTTCAATATGTGTACGAAATGCTCGTATCCATCTATTTAAATAAAAAGGAAATAAAGTTAATAAAACATTCATTTTTATGTAAAGTATTGTGTCCTATATGCAAAAAAAAATTAGAGAAATGTATTAATGTTTAGATACATTAGTGAATTATTAAAAAGTTGTTACTTCTTATTGAATATTTAAGTAAAATTAATTGATAGAAAAAATTAATTATTTTAAATAAAATATCCTACTTTCGACTAATGAACAAATCTCTTCAGTTGCTCCCGTTCGATTTCAATGTTTTTTTCTATCTATAGATACTACATTGTATTTTAATAAAAACTCTAATAGGATTTGAGTTCCTATTGAGATTTTGACTAAGTTATCAAAATTTGATTTGAAACATTGCGTATATAGAGAACTCAATTAGATTAGCTTTCATAAAAAGAATTCAAAAGTTTTGAACAAAGTCCCTTTGAGATATGAAACTTTCAAGATATAGACTCTTTTTCATAAATAGTGTATACTATAACATGCATTTTTTGAAAATTTCATATCTCGGCGAGACTTTGTTCAAAGCTTCTGAATTTTTTTATGGAAAATCTTCTATTAAAAACTCGATAGTTTAGCCAAATATCAATATGAACCAAAATCTTTTTAAGATTTTTATACAACACTATGCGATATCGGTAGACAAAAAAAAATCATTGAAATCGGAAGGAAGTAGCTAAAGAAGTGCCCTCATAAATTCATACAAATGTTAAGACTATCGAGTACCTTTCTACCGTAAATTAGAAGCCTACTCTATCTGAACAAGCGTAAAATAACAATGTAGGTCACCGAATAGATTAGTTCGATTGCTTTTCACTTCTTTGATGTATCTTATTTCGTTTGTTCTACAATACACTGATGACAGATGAACGTGTGAATGAGAAAAGTAATGCAATGAATGCATTACTCAGATTATCTGATAATGTAGAACTGGAAAAGTATACAAGTCAATTTTCGATGCGTCGGTAACTATCATAGTTTGTATCAAAGTTCTTAGATAGTTTAGAAAACTTCAATTTATCAAATTTTCTGTACTTTCATCCCTTGAAAACGAATCAAATCATAGTTATAACACAACAAAATGTGATCACAATAAAATCCCACCTACATACTTTTGACCTGAGAAACAAATCAGAAATTTACCTTTGAAATCAATGTAATACAACTTTGGAAAAGTTTGTATGTCATAAAAAAGGACTATATCTTTATAACAAGAGTGAACTCAAACAACATTCAAATATTTTTTTCTATACGAATTCTCATCGATTAATATGTCAAAAATATTATGAAAGTTTTGACGAAGGAAAGAGTCTGATAAGATATTATCTACCTCATTTTTTTTTGCATTCCTAACTACTTTGAATACATACTGTCGAAGCCATTCAAAAGCAAGTGCTTTTATTCCTACACGTCGTGATTGATTTGGATCAAGTTCCCATAATTTCCATGAATCCATTTCATTATAAAAATGTCCAAATGGATCATCTAAACCACATTGTTGAAACAAAGCTTTAACGAATGCTCTAATAAAATAAAATTTTAATAAAAAAAAAAAAAGAAAAAAATTGTTTTTTATTTTAATAATAATTCTCTACCGAATATGATCACCACCATCTAAATACCAATAAATAAATTCAGCAACAACTTCCATAGTCATTTTATTCAAATGAGCTAATAAACGAAGATAAGTTGAAATAAGTTCAATATCATGTATTCCATAATTAGGTGGATTAAATTTAGTTAAATGAAATAAAATTCTCTCAATTAATGTATCACGTGTTTGATCATTTATTGAATTTGTACGATAGAAATTTTCAAGTTCCTGTAAAACTATAATTCGATTTTCAATATTAGAAATAAAATCTAGACGTTGTAATACATCAGATGGAAATGCATTTTCATCACAATTTTCAAGAAAAATCTATAAGAAATGAATAATTTTATTTCAATTTTCATTAGAATTGAAAAAAAAATGAGACATACGTCGACTTTGACTAATGGATATTGTTCTTCAAACCAATTTAATTCTTTAAGTTTATCAACAAAACGTACAAATGATGGTGAAAATTGACGTGGAGTTTTAACACGTGTTTCGACTGTTTGTGTTGATTCAGTAACAATTGGTATTAATGGTTTGACAGGTATTCGAGCTGGTTTTGATGGTGGAGAAGGTTTTACAACTACTGGTGGACGTCGTAATGGAGTTTGTCGAGCTAATCGATTAGTTGTTTGTGATGAACTTGGAGGTGCTCCAGGTTCCTTTCAATAAATAATTAAAATAAGAATCATCTAAAAGTTGAAAAATGAAAGATTTACTGGTTGTTTGGATTCATCGATGACAGGTTCTTCTTGTGGTGGTGGTGATGGTTCAACAACTTGGTGTGCAAGATCAGTTAATTGTTTCATAAAATCACTTTGAGTTTTCTTTTTCTGTTTTTCTAAACGATCATCCATATCATCTTCATCGGCAGCGAGTTTCTTTTTCATTGTTGCTTCTATTAATTCTTTCCATTCAGCTTCTTCATCCTAAATGAAATTTTTTTAAAAATATTTATAATGAAAATGAAATATTGTTTTCTTTTTTTTTTTTTTTGTTTTCTATATCAAATGGATAGGTTATTATTTGTGCAAATGAATAGGAAAATAAAAGAATGTGTATTATTCATGTGTACATAGGGATACATTATCCTTACAATTGATTGAGGAATTTGAATTTCTTTAGCTTTTTCTGCTAAACTCTGTATAGATATACATATATATATATATATATAAAGAAAAGTTATTATTTAAAATTATTATTATTTGACTTACAACTGGTGTAGTTTTTTCTAATGCTTGTAATTGTTCTTCAGATAAAACAGGTGGTACCCATTCTTCTCGCTCTTGTTTTTTCGGTTGTCGATTAGGCCAAAGTAATTTAGCCTAAATGAATAAAAAATAAAATAATCGATGTTAAATATTTATATATTATTATTTTTCTTACTAATACAGAATTAGGAACAATAGCACCAGGTCCATATTGAGGACGATCACCAGGTAATGTTATCTTTTCAACATTATTATTAAGTAATTTTTTAAGTTCATATTTATCTTGCTGTTGTTTAATAATACGAATATCATCATTAAGAAATGGTGGTTGATTACGATAGTGTTCTTGAAGTTCTGATAATTTTTCTTGACGTTTTTCATAGAATTTTGATAAAGGATCTTGATTTGCTTCTTTTACTGAAGGGAAAAATCCATCATCATCTATTTGAATCACATACGGATCAGGTTCTAAATCAAACATCAAAATCATAATAAAATTCTAATAAAAATTCTTATCCTACTTGTTATTGGTGGACCAAATAATTCTTGTTCTGTTAATTTATACATATCCTCATCTAATAACTAAAATATTCAATAGATTAAATAGAAAATTTATCAAGTAAAATAAAATCTTACGCCTTTTTTTGGTTCTTTTAAATAAATTTTCATATATTCATTAAAAGCTTCTTTTCGAACTTTTGATGATATTTTATATTTTTTAGTTCGATGAATTTTTCCTTCAGCAATTTGTGCAATTTCTAAATCACGTTTTTCTAATTTTTCTAGCTCCTTAAATAAACAAGAATATTTTAATGTTTTGTTTTTTTTCAAATTCTTTTTTTCTTTGCTTATTTTACTTGAGTTTTTAATTTCATGTCTTCAACTGATTTTGCCTGAAATGCTGAAATATCAACATTTTCAGGAACAATATTCAATGGCCTATTTTAAAAATAGTTCAAAATTTAAAATAAAATTTAAAACTAATGTTTTCTTTTTTATTTTTACGAACATTTTTTCAGCTTTATGAGCTCGTTTTAAACGAATAAGATCTGCTGATGACATACGAGTTATTTGTGTATTATCGATTTCTTCACTTTCTTTTATTTCTGGTATTGTTGGTTTAAATTCCATTGATATTGTTTTAAATATAATAGCTTTTGGTAAATCTTTAATTTAAAATAAAAAAGTTATATATATATATATATATGTATATAACATATGGTGCACAAGTAATTCGATAAACATCGGTCCCTATTTCTCTTCGACAGATGGGCATTCAAAGCAAAACTTATTTTATTAAAAATAGAGAATTTTTTTCTCTTTTGAACTCTATTTAACTTAATTTTGTTATACATTCACAAAGAAAATGACATGAGAACAAAGAGCAATACTCGCACAACGAATTTGTAATAATTTTTTATTTATTCTTAAATCAATTTCTGTAAAATAACAGTTAATTATTTTATAAGGGAAGGTATTCCCCCAAGAACAACAATTTAATGAATACATCACATTTTGAGGGTGCTTCTCTTTTCTATTCTGTAGATATCGACAAAATGGGTCCGGTTCCACCAGAACCAGAACAAAAAAAAACGACTTGTCTCGCTCATGTCTACTATTGCATTATTTCGTTTATGAGTGTGTAATAAAAAAAAACCAACATATATACAACTCGAAAGAAAGACAGAGACCGACATTTATCCAATCAGTTTTGTATGAGATGTTATGTTTATTTGTGTGATAGACTTACATGATGAATGTAGCATTTTATATAGATGATCACCTATACCAAGAATTAAATCTCCAGAATCATTTGAAAAATGTAACGAATGAATATTATCATGAATAACAATCATTCTTTTAAAAAAGAAAATAATTTATTAGAATAAATAAATTTTTTATTTTTCTATTCTTAAAACCTGATTAACTGATTTTTTCCATTCCATATTCTTAATGTACCATCAAGACTACCAGTAGCAATTAATTTTAATTTTGAACAACCAGATATTGCTGATATTTTATCACAATGATCATTTTCTGGTAAATGATCAAATCGTTCTTGAAATTTCAAAATAAAATTAAAAAAAAACAGTTCTTTATTAAACTTTTTAATAAATAATTTTACCATTATTTTCTAAATTATAAACCATTAATGAATGTGTCAGTGTTGATTCTTCTCGAAAAGCAACAGCAAGTGAATTTTTTACTATAGTTAAATGAACTGGTGGTAAAGCACAAAATATTGATCGAACAACTGAAAGTGATTCAACAGCATAAGGAAAAACTCGCCAAATTCGAATAATTAAATCTGAACAATAAAAAACAATCCAATACAACAATACATTAAAATGAGACAAGAGAACTATTACCAACACCACATGATATAATCTGATCAGCACTGGCATGTGCAATAATATCAGCAACCGGACGAGCAGAATGCATCTAGATTAAACAAAAAAAACCATTTTCAATAACACATCACTAGCATGAATAGAAATCTACGTGATTAGCTTTAATCTTGGGCTCCGGTCACTGAGACTACTAGAAAAAAAATTTGTTGAGATTGGGACTGGATTAGATTTACCAAAGCTATAACCGAGACTACTAGAAAAGAAGTTACGAAGGTCAGATCGAGACTAGAGTCCGTCGGGTTGGTCTCAGATATGAACCCCAAAAAATTTTGAACCCGACGGGCTTTGACCGAGACTAAAAAAACCATAGTCTCATACATCTCTGATCATGAATAAGATTAACTTGATATTTTCCTATTGTTCCTTTAGCAATCAATTTCTTCCAATTGAATCAAAAAGAATTCGTTTAAGATTTTCGAAATTTTTGAAATAATATATTTCTATAAGTAAAATGTTGATCATAAAAGATTTATTTGTATACATACATCCAAAGAAAAATCAATTTCTCCAGTATGCCATTTTAAAACAGCAATACAACCATTATTTAATCCAGCAATTAATAATGTTCGACTAAAACCTTTTAATGCAATATGTATTAATTCACTACTTGGCTTGGTTACTAATGCTTTAAGCATTGGTGTTTCTTCCATATTACTCTTTGCTACATATTCATAAATTAATAAACAATTAATTGAATCTAAAATATATGAAAATATAATCTTTAATCAGGAAAAACAGATTTTCTTTTTACATTCTGTTGTATCAAATTGTTGAACAATTTTACAAGGATTTAATGATGTATCTGCTTTTATAAGTCTATTACCATTACTAACAAAAAGTGTATCTAAAATCAAATGTTTTCAATTGAAATTTAAGAAGGAAAAAAAAACAACGATAATTATACTTTCACCAATTGCATAAGCACATGATGTAGCTTTAAAATTCAAATCACAAACAAGACTTGTTAATATATCACCAGTAGCAGAAGCAATTATTCGTACAGTTGAATCTTTACATAAAAGAGCCGATCGTGTTGGATAATCAGGATGTGTTGTACAAATTATTTTTATAATAGGTGATCTGATAAAAAAAAAATATTTTCAAATTTTCTTTTTTTCACTCTCTTCCAAGTTCTTTTTTTTACAAACCCAATAAAACTTAAAAAATCACAATAATGTTTAATACACCATAATTGTAAACATTTAGTTGATGCTACAATAAATTTTTCATAATTTCGCGTTACATTCATTTGAGATATTGGTTCAGGCACTTTAATACTAAATCAAAAAAAAAAAGAAAAGCAAATGTATAAATGAAATTAAAAAAAATTAAATTCACGTACACATCAACAACATCACCATATTCAAGACTCCATACACGAATTGTTCGATCTTGACTACTCGAAATAACATAAGGTCCAAATGGATGCTTACTTAAACATAATATTCGATCTTGATGACCAACATAAGCATATAAAATAAACCAACGATCATCCCAAACTTTAACTAATAAATAAAACAAAAAAAAAACATAGATTTTATAAATAAATTAAAACTTGTTTTTCTTTTGTAAACAAACTTGATCCATCACGACCAGCTGTCACAAGAACATCACGTAGTTCAATAAAAAGCATTCCAACAATTGGTCGAACATGTAAATCTTGTTTAGTTGAAAAAACTTTTCCTTCATCTGCTACATTAAAAGCCTATGATAACAAAAAAAAAATCAAAACAAAAATTTTTTTCAATAAACATATTTCAAATAAATACCAAAACATCATAACCCGATGTAACAAATAATCGTTGAATAGAACCATTTGTTTGTTGAGCAGCCATTATATTAAACTCTATATCATCTGTATAACCTTCTCGACATTCAAATTTAGGTAATAAATGTTTTCGATTATAACGAAATTGCCAAACCTTAAAAAATTTTTATTCAAAAGAAAAAAACCAATAGAAATAAAACATACAGTAACACCTCTTCCACAAGTAAATACATCTGATGTCATTTCATTATAACTTAAATCACCAATATTATAATCACAAGTTGATGTTGATAAAATTTCAAGATCAGAACTAAATACATGAATTTCTCTTGACCAACGTGACCAAGCAATAAATTCATCTTCGTTTATACAATAAAATAATTGATCAAATGCTATATCAAGTTTCAATTTTTTATATGCTCGACCATCAGAATGATATATACGAGCAATTCTTTTATGATCAAAACTAATAATTTCCTTTTTTTTTTTTAACGAAAACATACAAGAATGAGTTGCATATTAACTAAACTGATCATACTTACTTTTCGTTTAATATTAAATGAAATACATTTAACTTGAATATCATGATTTATATTTCGTACAAAATGTAGACCATGTGATCGTTCAATATCTATATATTCAAAAATTTACAGAACTTTGCTGACAATATTATTCGAATTTCAATGATAGTAAGGAACAATTATTCAAAGAGTAGGAAAAAAAATCAATAATTTATTAATAAAAAAGTAACGAGAGAAATCTTTCAACTGATAAATTGCTTTTGAGTCAGGATTAAGTATGCACCAGTTTCAATAACTGTTACTCATTTAACTCGTTCAGTAGTATGTGATTTTTTTTCCAAGCCTGTTTAATTGCATCAGCTTAATACTATTAAAATACTAGTGCATACCTAATCGAGACTATGTGTATTATGTAGATCCTAATGAGCTTTGAATACTTTGAAAATAGTCGTGACACTTGACTTATTACTGCTTTTTTACGATACTTTTTAAGCCAATGCTATGATTCCGCTCAGGAACACTGAGAGAATTCATTTCCGAATTTCAACTTGCAACTTTATATAGAGACACGAGTTGAGAACAGTTCATTGTAAAAATTTCAGATCTTTTGATTTGCTTCTTTTCTGAAATAAGAATATCGGATGTGCTTGTATATATGAGCAAAGTGAAAGACTAGCTTTTATCTTAGCTATATCTTAAGATACGAGCAATGAAATGATCTGAAATTTTCAAATAAAAACTATTCTCATTAAGTTATGTCTCTATGGAGAATTTCAAGTCAAAATTCGAAAATGATTTTTCCAAGTATTTCTGAAGGATCGTAAAAACACAACATGTCGGAAACAATAAACCAAAGACCTGAGTTCTTCTCAGAGCATTCATAGTTCATTATGGCCAATATGATTCTTATAGCCTCGACTCAAAAGCGATTAATTTAGTTGGAGGACTTCTCTCGTAAGACTACATCTTACAATAGATTAACTGTATGCTTCATCTACGATGATGATAGATCATTCAAATGTCGAAACAATTTTATAAATAGATAAGCTAGTAGTGTGAAACAACATTGAATACTCATATATAGTCACATATTTAGAAAACTGAAGAAGAAACCACAGGTGTAGAATCTGTCGCTAAAATGGAAATTTTTTCTTACTATCAAAATAAAAGAAAACTTGAATTTTCTTTTTCATTCACTCATCCGAAGAAAACGAAACGGAAATCGACTTACTTAATACACAAAAAAACTAATCTTTATTAATCATCAATTAATAGAAGTAGTTTTCATTCCATAAATGTACTGTATAATTACATGAAAAAAGAAGCTTGTTTCAATACTTTCCTATCAATAGCTAAATCCCAGAAGTTGTGTACGAAGTCTGTCCTCTAATTGCTAGAAGAGAATCATTTCTTTATTGAAATTTTCAAATGAAAAATTTTCTCCCAACACGCGTTGATGCACATGAGTAGACTCTATACTTCTGGAAGGAACTAATCATAAAGAACAAGTAGAAGCAAGATGGAATTTGTATCATTCAAGGTTAAGAATCAACATTGACAAAGTTTTACTTTTATTCAAAAGATTCAATTTCTTCTTCGATTATAACATGCTCAATAGTTTTATCATTACCTTTCTAGCATATTAGTTTGTCTGATATTTTATAAAATAGAACTATGCAAAAGTAAATCAACATTATTTTAAAAACTCTAATTATTGAATTTTCAACAAAATAATGAATTTATTTCGTACCAGCATCATCAGCACGTGAAACAGCTTCAATTGTTCGACGAATCGAACATCGCAATAGTCTCCATAAATATTGTGCTCGATTTTCTCCATATTTTGTTGGTGCAATTAATAATTTCGTTCGTTGTGTACTATAATTTGATTGAGCCCGAGAAACAACCGGTGTTGTTTCATCAATAGTTGCCTCAGAATTTTCTTCTACTTCATTATCTTTATTAATTGCCATGTTTCTTTCTTTTTACCTCTTTCAATTCTCAATAACAAAAAAAATTCACCTTTTAAATTTATTTCTTTTTTTTTTTTTCTTTCATAACCAATCATGATAATATTGCTCGCCATTTACATTCAACATTTATGACTATTGCTAAGCAGCAAGCAATAGCAAAAAAAAAAGAATTACATTTCACACGCAAAAGAAAAAAAAATTATATCTGACATTTACAAAATAATAATTAGACTCGTCCATTTTTATCTGATTTATCATATTGTGGCCAACGATATTTTTTATCTGTTGTACTTGTGACTATATCTGGCTTGAAATTCATATTCTAAATAATCAAAATAAATGATAGAAAGATTAATTAATATATAATTAAATACAAACTTCTATAAAAGCTTCTTTCTGTCTACTTTTAGGTTTAAGTACTGAAGCAATCATTTTTTGTAATAATTGAGCACCTGAAAATATTATAAAATATTATTTCGAATTCACTAAAAACAACATAAAATCTAACCTTTTTCTTCATCATATTCTTCTTCATCATCTTCATGATGTTCATTTCGATTCTAAAAAAAATAAACATATGAATTTAATATTAAAACAAAAAACAATCTCATAAAAAAAACTTACTGGAATTATTTCTTGTTCTTTACCTTTAAATTCTTTTCTTGATGCAGCCAACTGATGAATACGCTTTAATCTTTGTTGTATATCATCATTAACTGATATATTTTCATTACAACGACTATTAGCTATTGATCTTAAAGACATTGCACTAAGTGCACTATTTATTGATGATGTTTCATCAGCTTCTTCACATTGAAATACTTTTATTTCATCGGGTAATGGTTCAATATTTTCATACATATTAAATGTACGAAATAGATCATTCATTTTCATAATTTCATTTGGATCTATAAAAAATAGACAAAAAAAATATTTTGTTATTTAAAAAAAAAAAACGACAATAACAAAGAAAAAACCTTTAGTATTAGTTTGTTGGTTCGCCATTGGAAGACTAAAGCTGCAATATGTATGTTTGTCTGAAATACAATCGGACAAATATATGGATTAAAACAATGGATATAAACGAATAGGACAACCGTTGCATGCCCTCTGTTTGTATATTGAGGTTCTTTCATCTTTTTTTTTTTCCTGTTCTACACTTTCGCAGCTTGACGATGGCGGCGGCGGTCGTGACGATTGAAGAAACAAAAAAAAAATTGACCAGCGCTTGTTTTCGCTTTTCTTTTATATTTAGATAACAATTGATGTACATGGAAAACAAGAAAATATATTACATTTGTGAAGATGCGTAAGACACTCGAGGAAATATGACAACATTCTATAAAGGAATTTATTTATTGTCACTTTGTTATGAAAATAAAATAATTCAGATTATTTTTTTTAGCAGAAAAAAACATATTTAGAAGTCATATAGAATACAAGCCAAATACAACACAGCTTACGTTTGATTCTGTTTAAAAGGGGAAAGAATGAAGGGAAAAAGTCTTCGAAAGCTACAGAGAAATCATTTATTCATCAATTTTTTTCAGAAAAAGTTATTCTAAGCTGACACTTTTAATACTCTCGTTAGTTATCACGAACACTTCTGTCCTTTGCGCTATTTATTGCGTGTGGGTATGATTGTTCTTCTTTTCTTCATTCACACCCTTCACTATTGTGGAAGAGGAATAAAATCGACCCATTTAAAACTTTATTACTTCATCTAAAAAATTGATTGAGCATTGTCTATGGTGAGTTTACAAAAACTGGTTGATACAAAGATTAGTCAAGTAAAATGGATGTCGACTAGTTATCAGAACATTTACTTTTAAGTGACAGAAAAAAATAAAAATAAAGAGTGGGTCTTCATACAGGTTTTCTTTCACATTCATACCACATTCTCAAAAATACTTTCTTAGTTCCATTTTTCTATCAGATTTAATTTTGAAAAGAAATTCTAGTTCATATGATGGATGTATCAGAAGAGTATGTGTCACTTTGTAAAGATTTTGTAGTTTGTTAATAGTGTCTTCCGTCTTTTGTTTTTTATTGGTTTAGCTTATTTATCTGAGTTGAAGCTTTTACTATGAGTTTCTCTACTATTTTTCGTTTTCTCATCTATTGCATTCTACAAAAGTGTTGTAAGTATGATTCCGAAAAAGTATACTAATTATATCAGTATTTTATGGATACGATTGAAAATTGATGTATTTTATGATAAGATATTGATCAGATACCTAATAAGCTACTTCATTGAGACTTGTACAGTACCTATTAAACGAATTTTAGGTATGTTGATGGTCAAATCATACGTTTGATGTTTGTATTATTTTCTGTCTTTTTAATATATTACTCTTCAAAATATAATCGGATTTAGTTTCTCTTTGAGAGAAAATAGATGGTTTTATATAAAAAATTGCAAATAGAATTTCTCTTTTACATAGGCAATCTATTCTTCCGAAGGATTAAATATGTTAGCTATAATGTAGAATGCTAGGAAAATTTAGGAGGAGAAAATTATCCAGCTTCCCCCCTCCTGATCGTATGGTCTGAGATACAATATCAGTAAATATTTGTATATCTTTTTATTAAATATTATGATTAGAGTTCGTTGTTCATAACTGCTTCTATCGAACATGACAACTAAAAATTAATTAAAAAAATAAAATAAAATAATGGTGAAATCAAAAGTAAAAGCAAGAAGAACAATGTACACTCAAAAATTCAAATAAAATATTTCAAGATTGTGACTGATATATTTTTAAGAATGACATATCCCCAACATATGAAATTGGTTTTCAGATAATTATAATAAAAAAAGAACAAAATCAAATGCTGATCAATAAAAAGAGTCCATTTGCAGTATTCGCATGTAGCTTAATCTATTATTTATGAAAAATGTAAAATTCATTAAAAATTTTACAGAAAAATAACTGCAAAAACAAACTTAATTTCATACAGCTGTAACTGTAGCATGTCTTTATCTAATATCAATAGATTTCAAATATATTTTCTTTATAGTTCGAGATTATAATACATAGTCATATGTTTTTCGATGATTATTTAACTTTTGATTATTTGTAAATAAAAATACCTATTATAAAAGTTTCATGTTGAAATTTTACATAATTTAATTGGAAAACTGTTTCTTAGAAATTTATCAAAATCACCGAAAATTATATATCAATATTGATTAGTAATATATTTTGTTTACCACTTCGGATGGAGATTACATACCCTGAACAATCTTTATAAAAATAATCCCGATTTTGTTCTTCTAGTTTCAAATTTCGACAAACTGTAGATAAATTGCAAAGCAAGCATGTTTCTGTTTAGAATTTCTAGTAAGCAGATTTCTCATTCAGATTTTATATTGAAATACAAAAGATATTTAAGAAAGAACGATATTGAGCTAAACCCTCATACTGATAAAAATAAAGGTGATCATATACGCTAATGTTCTACAGGATGAAATTAAATATTTGTCTAATGTCATGAAGCTATATCAGATGCAATCATATTATGGACAATATTTGTTTAAAAAAGAGTATTTGTTGAATACAATAATATATAAAGTGACAAAAAAAAACCAAATTTATTGAGGAGTATTGTACTCCTCTTGTTCTCTGATAGACAATGTCAAAAGTGGCTATAGTAGAAATAATGTTTGTTGCTTATCTAAGTTTTTCTATAAGGTACTATAACTATGGATATATAAAGCAAAAACATGAAGCAGAAAGTATCTATGACACACAACCAAACATTCGATTCGATGGCAAAATACATTATATGGATGTGGAGTGTGAGTAGAAGTGTACGTATTCAATTTATCCATACCCACCTACACTCAACCAAATGCACTAAAAATTGGAATGTAGACGTTTTCGACATCACTCATTCAGGTGCACATGTCAAATAAAAAGTAAATTTTGACCAGTATCCTGGTTCCTCGATGTTCTCATGGAGACTCCCTAAATTACCTATCAAATTGTTTGCCGTTTCTTTTTATCCAAAAAATAGAATCATGCTATTGGAATTCAAATCCGTAGTTTATTTATTAAACTTGTTCCTAGAAGTCAGTGCAGAATTTTTTTTTTGAATTCTCATACTTCGATGAGAACTGAGAGGATCGAAGTGAAACAAATTTCAAGAATTAATGCTTCATCATTATTAGTTATTAGCAAAGTGTTATTGAAAATAATTGTTATAGAACTTCTCAGATATACGGCGCCATCAATCTCGTTGTTTAGTTGGTCAGTTTGATTGGTTGATGCAGCATTGCTCTTTGAGTGACTGAAAGGGTAAATAACGGAGTCCTGAAATTGTGGCATACTGCTGCATTCAATGAAATCCAATGGAGTCCTGAATTCCGAATTCGATAGAATTCTACAGAATTTTGTAACATATCATAGAGAACTCATAGAATCCCATAATTTCAAGACTCCGCTATTTACCCTTTGGAGTGACACGCAATTTAGCTTCGTCATATAATTGATAATATATTATTTTGGTCACAATAGAAAGCATTTGATCAGCACGAAAAAGTTAACGATACAGCGATGAAAGTCTCGCCACTGTGGTCGATACTCGCTCGACAATTCAGCTCAAAGGTCAGTTAGTTTGAACTGAAACTAATTTAGTTTGCTTTAATCAACTATACTTAGGAGGGAACATATTAAATGCTCCCTCTTAGTAACGAGATGAGACCTAGCCAATCTTGTACAGAAATTTTTGTTGATCACGAATATCGATATCTTAGCTACTACTGTTCGATCTTTAAAAAAAAATCTGAGGGATATATAACGTAACTCTCCTGTGATGCAGGTACCCAGGCGAGCAAAAAATAAGGGAAATGACGCCCAATATGATTAGTTTAAAATGTCCGCACTACTATCTGGTCTAGTCCGAAACGTCTTGCAGTTCTTCACGACTACTCATGTTTACAAGGAATGCCGTGTAACAAATCATAGATTAGTCCACGGCATGCTCACACGGCATCATGACTAACCTATTTTGTCTATTCATACTGTCCGGACTCGTCAGTGGAACAAAAAAGCCAGAAGACAAGGAGACGATAGTTGGACTCGAACATTCGATCCGGCAATATTGAAAGTCTGACTAGTCTGGATTGTTTTCTATAGTGACACGGACTAGTGCGAAAGATCATTTGTACTAATCATGATTAGTTCATTTTCGAGAAAGTAGTGTCAGTCCTAGTTCAGACTAGTCTAAACTCTTCAAATAGTTCCTTGTGCTTGGATCTAATTATTCAAATAATTCTTTTAGACTGATCCGTATTAGGACTTGAAATATATGTAATGTAGTGCAAGAAAGTTTTGAGGATTTACATTATCTCTTACAAATGTTGACTGAGAATTAGATGCTTTTAGAATATAAATCAGATAGTAAATTAATAATTATTTTTTTGTTATTTTAAATAAAAAGAGTCTTTCAAAACTAACAGCGACATCAAGAGTTGACTGAATATTTGACCATATGTAATATAGCAATTTTGACTATCCTATATCAAAAGATATCTATTATCAAGCACCTTTACAAGAATAAAAATTTTATATATTTTTTATACTAAGACTACAAAAATATATTGAAGCATAAAAAAAGTAAATAGAATTACAAAGCAACTGTTTACGTCTTAACGAAAGTTGCTGATTTATGTCTTATGAAATTTTTCGGTTGAAAAAAACAACTAAGATTAATTTTATTGAAAAAATAATTTTAATATCTTTATATGAGAATTATATTTTATCTCAAGTATTAATTCTGGTGATTTGAATTTAAAAATGGATTTAAATTATAGAATCTTAGTTTATGTTCAAATTTAAATTGGAAAATCCGATTTGGTTAAAAAATAATAGAGATAGGATGAAAATATTGAAATGACTAAAAGTGTACTCACATTTCAGTATTAGTATCCTATGTCTGCTATTTTCCAACTTAGCCGAAAAATCTTGTCTACAAAATGATCAGAAAAGAATTTCCTACAACACATGATATTTTTCAGTTAATTCTAACATATTTGATTTTTCATGCAAATACTCGCATCACAGAAGAGTTACATTATATGTCCTTCAGATTTTTTTTAAAAGATCGATCGGTAGCAGCTAAGATATCGATATTTGTGATCAACAACGTTTCTATACAAGATCGGCTAGATCTCATCTCGTTCCTAAGAAAGATATTTAAATATATTTCTTTGTTAGACAAATAATCAACAACTACAGACAATCATTCATCAGATTCGATTCGTTTCACAACATGTGAGTAGTGTAGAAGTCGAATAGTCGATTTGGCTTTTCAAATTTACGAATTTTCATACGTGCGGATGGATGTAACAGTGTTAAACGAATATGTAACTGAGCACCTGAAATGAAACTCACCGCAACGAAATACAGACACAGAAGTCTATCTGTATCAGGGTGCCATGAAACACTGGAAAAATTCGAATATTCGAACTGAGTTTTCGGCTTGGACATGTATGTTGCGATACGGTGATTTCATTGACGCGATTTACTGTTACTTACGTTAAGCTAATGCTATCAATATACCATTGAAGGAATAGATAAAAATAGATTTCGAGTAATATTGCTCAGCACAGATAAGATTTTTCTAATTATTAATTCGGGAAAGCGTCTGATTTTCGAAGTATGTCAAAGAGATACCCCCACGATTCACAAATATGCAATACAAGGAAAATGAAATAATTCAAGAGATGTTAATATTCTATATACTCACTGTTGGTGACCATGATGGAAATCAAAGATTTCAAGGAAATCAAGAAAAATCAAGGAGAATGAAGGAATTCAAGAGATGTTGATATCTTATATACTCACTGCTGGTGACCATCATGGAAAGCAAGGAATTCAACGAAATCAAGAAAATCGATGAAATGTAGGAATTCAAGAAATCCCAGAGATGTTGGTATCATACATACCCATTGCTGGTGGCCATGATGGAAATCAAGGAATTCAAGGAAATTAAGAAAAGTCAGAGAAAATGTAGGAATTCAAGAGATGTTGACAATTGGAATGGATTCTATGTCCCCATTTCTTTATGTTCTTTTGATTACTATCAAAGAGAAAAAACAGATATGCTTTACCGTGTACACAAAGAAGAGTATGGGTCGCGGCTCGTTGAAGACACTACGCGCTTCCACACAGCGAGACAGATATAAAAGATCAGTTACGCTGGCAAGATGTTTTTATTTTTAGGTGATATAATTGAACATTCAAATTTCACATGTGCGATAGATTTCGACGTATTCAATCGAACTATGAAATTGAATTTCAAGTATTCCTACATTTTCGTTGATTCCTCCTTAAATTTCTTCATGTTGTTGGATTCTTTTAATTCCTTGATTTCCATGATGGTCACAAGCAATTGATATAAAAAGTATTGATACCTCTTGAATTCCTACATTTTTCTTGAATTGGTAATTCCTGGATCGTGAATATTGCTAATGTTAAAACCGTTCATCAAAGCGAGAAGTATTAAAATGTAAATCCTGACTGTTGGAACACATAATTGAACTGGTTTTTTAACAGATAGTAATGGAATACAATGTTCGTTTTGTAGAGATCAAGATAGTTCAAGACAGACTTGATACTGCACCGATATTTCGACTAAAATTTTCAAAGAGACAGAGCTTTCTGTTACCAATCACAGCGAGAAAACGTTTCTAAACGTCGTAAATAAAATATTAAGCATGTTTTTTTGAATCCAGTGAGATTCTGTATACTATCAGCATGAAGTCAAACACGAGTGTTATGAAGAAAACCGAGCCATCTTAGTTTGAATCATTTTTGACATTGAGTTAAGGAATCGATTAATCGTTTCATTCGAGCAATATTTCCATCGTACGTCCGTATAATAGATAAAGCCAATACCTAATGAGGAACGACAACTATGTTACACGATTCCCAACGGTAATTTCACATTTGAACAACGTCAATTTTACGAAGACAATGGTTTCATCATCATACGAAAGCTTATTTCACCTTCTACACTCGAACGATTTCGGTAGGTGACAAAAATCTCTGAAAACTCAATCATCAGATATCGAATTTAGACAACGATTCGATGACGTCTGTGCGGAAAAAATTCAAATACCTGGTTTAACAATAATGAAGGATATAGCCCATGCTAAGTCAACATCAACTGTTGAAGAGAAAACTATTAGCCGAATTCAAGATTTTACATTGGATGATGAATTTTTCCAATATTGTTGTCTACCAGAACTTATTCAATGCGTTGAAAATTTCACCGGTCCTAATATAATGTCTATGCATACGATGGTGAATTTTTCTTTTGATATCAACATACGATTATCTATTCTTTCTTTTCTAGATGATTAACAAACCACCAGATGCGGGAAAGAAAACATCCCGACATCCACTTCATCAAGATTTATTTTTTTTTCCATTTCGACCAGCTAATCGTATTGTATGTGCATGGACAGCAATGGAGCATACATATCGTGAGAACGGGTGTCTTGTTGTCTTGCCCGGCACACATAAAGGCAAAATAGAACAACATGTATATCCAAATTGGAAAGTAATCAATGAGAGAATAAACATTTGATCAAAATAAAGATACTTCTTTTTTTTTGTCAAAGGGAGGCGTCAACAAACTGTTCTATGGTATTGAGAATTTCGATCCTAATCGCGAAAAACAATATGTAGAAATGTGGGAAGGTAAATTTTTTTTATAACTGTTGTTATTATTTTTATTGTTTTTTTTCATTCAGGTGACACAATTTTTTTCCATCCATTACTTATTCATGGTAGTGGTACAAATCGAACATCCGGATTTCGAAAGGTATCTCAAACAAGATTAACTCCTATCGAACAGTCTATTTCTGATTGTCTAGATAATTACAAGCCATTTTGCTGATTCATCATGTTATTATATTGAATGTGAAGATTTTCAAAAAGCTATGGAAAACGAATATTTAGAGATATTTCGCAAACGAACAGGTCGTCAAGACGCGACAATTCAAGTGAGTGACATAAAGTTTTTAAAAAATTATCTGTTTCATATTTTCTACATAGGATCTCTGGAAACATCGAAGTCGACTTATCCAAGGCAAACGAATCAATCTTTAAAAAAGAAAAAGAAGAAGCGTTCTTCTTTGGCATCTAGAAGTACATTTCATTGATTTGATGAATCTGATCATTTTTTTTCTTTGAAAGCAATAATCAAGCAAGCATTATTTTAATGAGTTCTGGTTTTAGATTACGGAAACTTGCCGATAAATTTTCTTGTACGTAAGGTTTAAATTAAATGTATATATCAAATAAATACTTGTGTAGACTACGATAAATAAAAATGATTTTACCAAACAAATAATGCTCATCATTAAAGTAAAGTAGATCAATGTCAACAAAAATATTTTCAACAATGAACTGTCCGCAAATCTTCGACAACTGTTATTTTATGCTGGGAACTGTCGAGATAGGTCCAAGGTTTTCTTATGTCCATTTTACAACTGAATACTATCTATTGTTTGGTTAATGAATTAGCAATGCTGGCATTTGAACAGATCAGCTTTCTTTATTTAAAAGAAGATTGAAGAATAAAAGCATCATCCGACAAAAAGACGGTTCACTATCAGCGATAGACATATTGAAAAGTCCTACTGAAACTCATTTGATCAATATATATATCTTTAATATTCTCAATGTCTTGTTTCACTTTAATTGATAAGCATAGTTTCGAAGTTGGTAATCTCATAGGATGTGGATGTGGATGTGGATCGGATGTAGCTCTTGGTCTCCTCTTCAACATACCATACTCACACCCAAATACGACAATAGTATTGAACTATATTTACAGCAGAGACGATGAATTTAAAGAAGAGCTCACGCTTCTCTTTTCTACGAGTTTTTTCTTTGCGGATTGAACATGCGATAACTCAGCAAGGAAAAGCGCTAGATGACTACAACTTTTAGAATAGTGAATGAATCTAGAGTAGTGTTATTTGTGAAAACTCCAAGACTCTATGCCTTTTCTGGATAGAGATATGAGTATTTCAATGTTCAGTGGCTTGCTCTGCGTAAAACGAAATCTGTCTCTTTTTTCTTGGAAAATCGTGCTGGAACGGAAAAATTAGCGATTTGTAGAAAGTTCGATGTGATCTACAAGCTGGAAAAAAGTTTTTCGCTACGAAAAACTAGTTTTCCAGAAAAATGAGCTTACAAAGCCTAGCAGCACAGGTGAAGATCATATCCGAAATCAGTATAGTCAATAACATCTAACCTACATGGTTTCATTGAAAAAGCGATGTGCCTGTTCGGAACATTCTCTTGTAAGTTTCATATTTAAGTCTGTTGATCGACTTTTTTCTAATTCTTATGATACATCTCGTTCAGAACGATATGAACTTGATCCATTTAGGATAAATTCATCTACTATTTAAAAACAACTCAACAAAAGTTGAAAAAGACATACACTTTGTTTGCACCTGCAATTCCATTTGTATAAGAGGAATAGCCTTTTTTTGAATCAATAAACGGAAGGAAGGACTATAATAAAGACAAATTTTCATTAAAAGTGGATTCTTTTAGTAAAACAATATTGCTTTTCACTTCGGTAACAATAAATTGCTCAATTATGATTGAACCGATTTTCATTCCTATGCTTTTATATAAATTAGCAATTTGAAACAGTAAAAATATTTGAAAACGATTGTCTAAACTTTGATCGAAAGATAAATGCGTCGGAAAGTAAAACTATCGAAAAATTTGAAAGTTAAAAGTTAGAATTGTTGAAAGGTATCCGTTCGAAAGAGTGTCCCTAAAGACGTAATTATCACCTGATTAACGTTGGATCGTGTTCTTGTGGGTGTGAAAATGGATCTGGATATGTGGATTTTATTTTCTTCCGCATCGTACCCACATTCCTACTGGTTTGTCTTTTTTTGTGGCAAAAAAAAACATGATCTAGCAAGAATGTTGATCAACTAATTTATCTGGAGTTTTTTTTTACTTGTCTTTCATCGATTTTTTTCGAATAAATAAATTTGATTCAATTTAAACTACTCATCTTTTTATATGCTCAATAAAAAAACATCATACTGAAGTATCTACCCACTTTTTTATTCTTCGACATTCCCTACTTTTGACTAAAATTCAGATTACCTTTTGAAACGTCGACATCGCGTCAATTGTCCGGTCGAGTGCTTGATCTGATTACGAACATGAATTCAACATGGGCTGAGCTTACTCTTAGCTCTGCCATTATGTATGTTTCATTCTATCATTATGTGTTTTTCAGTATACGATTTGTTGTTCTCATCATAAATAAAATAAATTCAATTGATTATCATCATTTTATTGAATTCTACACACACACAAAACTACGCAAAAAAAAAACAATTTTGTCATAGCCGCAAAAAATGAGTCAACAGTCTAACAAAAAAAAATGAAGATTGATCGAGAAAGAAATAACTAACAAAACTAGTAACATTCACACACGTCACCGGACGCGTAATTTGTTTTTATTTTGAATAGAAGAGATAAAACGAAAAAAAAACGACTAGTGAGGTGCAATACCAACAACAGCAACAATTTTTTAACTGTTCCTATCACAAAAAGGCTAATGAACAATTCTTAGATATATATAGATATATGTATATATACATAAACTACCGGAAAATAAGAAAGAAAAAAAAAATACAGGAATGTTACAACAAAGGCATCGATATATGGACGAATGAAACGAAAACAAAAAATATCTCATCACAAATGCTTTTTTTCTTCTTCTTATGATTATCTAAAATAAATCATTCGTTACATTGATTTTCTTTATTATTTTCATTTAATAATATTGATTTTTTCTTTAATGAAATCATTCGTTGTTCATCTGATTCAGGTATATCAAATAATTCATTATAAAATAAATTATCATTCTAAAAATTTGAAAATAAAATTATTTAATTTCTTTTTTTTGTTTTTGTTTTAAAATAATTTTAAATTACTTTTTCATCATTTATGGTTGAATAAATTCCATCATATAATGAATATTGTTTTGATTCATTTTGATGACGAGCAATTAAAGGATTTTTATTTGTTGTTGAATTTATTGACCAATATAACCAATACCAAAGTACAGTTCGAATTTTTCGTGTTGTTATACGTAAAATACGTAATGCTTCAGCTAATTGTAAAACATCTAAATTTTTAAGAGGAGAAAAAAAACCATAATAATTTTATTTAGAAAGAAGAAAATAAATAAACCTTTTTCATCAGGTAAACGTGGTTCACCGGAACGACATTTTTCAGTTGCATTATCAATTTCTTGTCGACGTCGATCTTGAACTATATTAATTACATTAAGCCATTCATCAAGAGTTTCTCGTGTTGCATCGATATCTTGAATACTTAAACATTCTGTAATTCGTTCATATAAACGAATTATCTATTCAAATAATTTTTTTATTATTATAATTAAATATCAATCAAATTTTCATACTCGATTATATTCATGATGATATTCAATAATTAAACGATCGACACGTGATGGATTATTTGAAAGACTTAAAAAATTTGTATTTGTTATATCAATAATAGATGATGGTGAAGATTTATGTAAAATCTGAATACCAAGTTTTGATTCAGTCTAAACAATAAATCAATCGTAAACGTGAACTTCTTATTTTATAAATGTAAAAAAAAAACAGTGAATAAGAGTTTACATTTTTCTATTTTAGTTTTACATAACAAATCAAGTCGAAAAACTATTTAAACAACATTGATTTTCATGATTGAATATTATCATAATGAATAACATGTAGAAATACTCTTGTTCAATTAACAGAAATATATCGTAGGGAAGGTATGGTGTAAAAATCTCGAAAAAAAAGTCTCGAAAAAAAATCTCGAAAGAAATAAGCCCGAAAACAATAATATCGAAAAACCAAAGGATCGAAAAATCAAAATCTCGAAAAAACAGTATTTCGAAAAAAAAAATCTCGAAATTGTCAAATTTCGAATAAATGAATCTTGAACAGTCTCCAGGTGCGGATGTGAGGTGCATGTGGGTGTGAGTATGGGTGCGTGTGGGTGTCGGGTGCATGCGGGTGTGGATGTGGGTATGAGTGTGGG